GATCTCCAGAAAGCTTACGACAGTGTGCCATTGATGAAACTTTGGGAAGCCTTAAACAAAAGGGGTTTTAGTGGGGGACTAATTAGTGCTATTAAGGAATTTTATGGTGGGGCTTTTTCTAGGGTTAAATCGCATGGGGAGTTATCGTTGGGGTTTTTAATTACTAAAGGACTGAAACAAGGGTGTTGTTTGTCGCCAACCTTATTTAAAGTGTACCTGGAAGAAGTTTTAAAGGAATGGAAAAGATGCTGTTCAGGAATGGGCGTCCCGCTACGTGAAGATGGCACCCTTTATACTCTGTGCTTTGCTGATGATCAGGTAGTTATAGCTCAGGACGAAGAAGATGCGAATTACATGACGCGGAAGCTAGTGGAAGTATACCGAAAGTGGGGAATGGAAGTAAATGTGGTTAAGACGGAGAAGTTGGTTATCGGTGGTGATCAGCAAAGCATTGAACTGGAGGATGGTCGGAAAATTCAGGACTGTGAAGAGTATAAATATCTAGGTGTTTGGTTAACTAAGGACGGAAATTTGGATCGGGCTATTAAAGATCGGAATGTGCAAGGCAGGAAAGCTATCGCGATGCTAAATGGGGTTCTCTGGGACCAGAGTATCTCCAAGGAGACCAAAAGGAAAATTTACAACGTCATCGTGAAGAGTATCGTAACTTACGGGAGTGAGGTCTGGCAACTCAAGAAAAGAACTGAAGACATGCTTAGGGCAACTGAGATGGACTTTTGGCGGAGGTCTGCTGGCATCTCAAGAAGAGAGCGTATCCGCAATGTAAAAGTACGCGAGATCATGGGTGTAGAGAAGGACATCGTGCACGATATCAGGTCCAAGCAGTTGGTCTGGTATGGACATGTGCGAAGGATGGCAGACGACCGGTTGCCCAAGCAGGTCTTCGATTGGGTTCCTCCCGGAAGGCGACGGCGTGGACGTCCTGTGAAAGGTTGGCGACAAGGGGTGGAGGAGGAGATCAGAAGGTGCCAATTGCCTGATGATCTCTGGGAGGATAGGGGGCAATGGCGATTGGGCGTCGCAGAGCGCGAGGCGGCGCTATAAAAGCGACTTTATGTATGTAAATCTGGTAACGCTCAAACCCTCACACGAGCTTCTGCAAGGCAACCCTCCTATCCCACGTATTAGGTTGAATCGAGTACATACTGCCTCGCTGACCTGAAACCGCATTACTCGAATGGGAAAACTATACACGGATCTGCGGTTTTTCTTAGGTTGGTAGCACACATCCCTCACGGGAAGCGTCTCCGATGACGTCACATTCGTCCCCCGTGAAAACGGTTAATCTTCTTAATGAAAAGAACGCTCTGAGTCGTTCGTATTTGCGGAAAAGCTTTCGCAGAATCGCATGACCCGAGTGGCGCAACTTCCACTCCGCACTTGGTGAGCTTTTAATTGTATACATTCGCGCTAAGTCGATGGGTTTGTTGATCAATACGGATCAGATCAGTCTGGGCTAATTGTGATCGGATAAGTCCTTTAATTTTACTTGACGGTAATGTAGTTTTGATCAATGAAGAACTTTCATCCAGAAAAACATCCCCATAGCCTGGAACTCAAGGCTGTAGCGGGCTGATTGTTGGAATTGAAAAGAGGAAGCTATAGACAAAGAAAACATAGGGAATATGGAGCTATCCTACTGGTTGAAATGGGTGGTTCTTATAGACTAAGGGGGTAACTAATGGACTAACTTTAGGGTTTATCTTGGGTTGACGTTAGTCAGTCTGTCACCTACCTTCCATACCCATTGTAACCACCCGCTTCTATACTAATGGGATCCCTCCATATCCCTTTTGTCTTCTTGGTCTATAGCTTTGTCTATCAATTACAGCAATCAGCCTGCAGGATGCGGTATTTTTTGCTCGATTCAGGATCAAGAATGTGGCAAAAAAGGGTGGATTCTATGGGTAATTTATAGAGAATACCTTTCTAAAAACGATTGACTTTTCGTCGCGTCGTGAGTTCGAAGTGCAGTTCAAGATCGTGCCGGGCAAGGCCGTCCACATCATCTAGTAACATTGTATCATGGCGTGTATTTAACCTTAAGTTGAATGGCAAATGCATGCAAAACCTTAAAATTGTCTTCTCTTCTTCTGTGTATCATTATGATAGTGGAAAGCTTTGAGCTATCTATTTATGTCTCGGAATGGTAATTTCATTAATTGATAGCTCTTCATTTAATACTTTGACTTTGATTGTTACGAAACTGCATTTTGACGGCTGTGCCTTGTAAATTATGAAGGAAATATCAAATTGTCCTGATCAAATTTCTAATTTTCGTATATCAAATGAAGAACCCTCCCTCACTTGAGAAGAAAACTGCTCGTTATATCTTCCGCTGTGGTAGTCTACTGTCCATCACTTTCTGCGTATTTCCATCAATCGAACAAATATTATACTTGCTCACTTGCGTCTAGTCCGAACTTACGACAACTAGTATTGTTGCAAATAAATAGCTTGCCTTTATGCAAAAATCGCAAGCTTGTTTCCGTTTCCTGTCGGATTGGCTTTGTTGAGTCCAATGCTGTCGAAACGACCATTTTTTTCTACTTACCCATCAGAATTTGAAAAGTCAGCGTTTCTACTTAAATTACGTATTAGATTGTCTAGCATCGTCATCCACTACTCCATTAGATTCAGCAAGACCTTAACGTTTATAAAACAAATGTTAGCGTCGTCCGATAAAATTAATGGTCCATAAGCTCCGGACTCCGGAACTACCAAATCGGGGGAAAAAAACGAAATTGTTGATTTTAATGGCACGAATTCAATCGGAGACGAAAACGGTATGCACAAACGACCCATCAGCGCGTTTTCGATTCATCATTAACTCTACGGTGAGCTTGTGACGTCACGGTTTACGCGGCGGTAACAACCTGTTAGCGTTGGACGCATGACGACGACGAGACGCGGCGCGGCGACGTAGCCAGGGACAAAAACCTTGACTCGGCTCCAAATCCGAATTGGCCGGAGTGAAAGTAACCCCGCAAGCAGGAGCGCTAGCGCGTCGCGACGCCGCGCCGCGCCGGCCGACGCGGGTCGGGTCTTGGGTCGGGATTTCATGCTTGATCAAGGCGCAGATATGCCGCGCCCGTGGCAGGTGCACGCCGCGCCGCAACGCGACGCCTTTGCGTTTTGCGCCACGGTTTTGTTTGTTTCTTGCATCTTGCGTTGCAATCAAGGTGACTTGATTACGCTCGCAACGAGCATGTATAATGGGCTAATTGCCGTTCCCCGACGCGACACCGGCCGACCCACCGACCGACCACCCGAAACTCGCCCGCGTGCGAGCGCTCTAATCAACGGGGTTGTCGCGGGGGAACCTTTGAACCTCCCCAATTGAGTTTTGAGAATGGTGGGAATTGCAATCCGAGTTGTCCTGTGATCTCGAGGGACATGCTACGGCTACTGTTTGTTATGGAACTTATTCATTTGCTCATTAAGAGCTTTCAAAGTTGCGGTGGTAATGCCGGTTAGGGTATGTGATTACTGCTGAGTCCATCTACAGTCCGATTCTTCATGCATGATTAGGGCTGGATACACGATTGCAATGTCGCAGATTCGCGGTCATGTTCTATTTCTTCTTTCTCTTTTTCTTACTCGAGGGGTTTGGAGGACAAGGCTAAAAAGTGCAGTTTTTAAACAAATTGAGGTATTAATGGTTTCAAGTAAATGTAGTCTTAATGCATATTCAGTGAAAAATTCGCTCCCAAAATTAAATTTTTAAGCATCAAAAAGTCAGTTTGAACTTTCTTTTTGCCATGAGGATCCATGCCATTTCGAAACTTCAAACACGTTTATCTCGAAATAGCAAAACCTGCACTTATGCACTTGTCTTCCAAGCCCTTCACTTGTTCATTTGTTTTTTTCAGAAAACTATCCAACAGGTTTCCTTTATTTATACGATAAAATCTCTTCACTTATCCAATAATTAACTTATCAGTAAAGCCATTTTTCTATGCATGGTATCTACGTGCTCAATAAGCAGTACCTCAATGAACCGCGATCCGCTCGCAGTAAGTAAGCGAGGAGCTTTCTATAGAGTGGTGTCCTGAAGGTGAACTTTTTTTTCGAAAGTAAAAGTAAAGTTTGCAAAGACGGATGAAACTGATGATTTGGCAGATGAATCAAATTCATAGGTTCTGAGAATGGTTTTCACCCACCAATCCTTATCGATGATATTCTCGGGCTGATTCTTGAAATTGTTAGACGAAGTTATAGACAAAGGAGACAATGGGAAAATTGAGCAATCTTTAGGTTGAAACGGGTGGTTGGTATAGACTGAGGGGAAAATGACGGAAAAACAGGGTGTCTCCTGGGTTAGTCCTCGGTAACTTCCGATTGGTGAGTATATTGACTTTTTCTAGCCGTGAATTTCGCAGTTAAAGGATTAAGCAAAGAGAACCAATGTGCTTTACGTTCTACCATGTTTGTTTAAGCTATCAATTCACGCCGAAGCTAATCAAACCGCCAGGGTTCATCTTCAGGGCGCAAATGTAGAAACAAAAACCAAACAAATACAAGACAAATTAACTACTAAGCACTCCTACTTATTAATCTACTGTCTTTTGTTTAAATCCTTCCTGATGGAAGGTAGATAGAAGAGCTGATGTTATGCTTCGCTGCGGTTCCGCCTCTCTCTTTCCCTAATAAGTTAGGGAAAGATCCTTTCTTTGATATGTCCTTTCTTCCTTCTAATCCTTTCTTTGATATGTCCTTTCTTCCTTCTAATCCTTTCTTTGATATGTCTTATTTTATTGTACTTAGATTAGTTAGCATTTATACTCTCTCTCTGTACTATGTTTCACCAATAAAGGAAAATTGAAATAATAAAAAAAAGAGCACTCATACTAAGCACTACATTGCAGACATTTGTCGCACTTAAAGGTGAGTGAAGTCACCTGCGAGGAGATAGCAATCTGCCTCTATGAATCGATCTTCTTATGTTAAATGACCTATGTTTTTGTTACGTGTTTCAGGGACCAGAGACTGATGGGTTAATCGGAGCCACGCGGAGCGGAAGAGCTGAAAATGTGGTTCGAGGACCCAGGGACTGAAGAGTTCAGGGGCTTGAACCTGAAAACGCTGGACGTTGACGAGGCCTACTTGAACATCACTCTCACACCAGATGCTCCTCAATCGCTGCACCTTTACTCTCTCACGAGCAACTGCCATCAGGTAAATAACCGACCAAGACTCCGGCTCGCTCCAGATCTGACATTCACTCCTTTTTCGTACAGTTCCAGTCTCGCCGATTCTCATCCAGGGATGTCGGGTCTCCGAAAGAAATTGCACGGTTTCGTAAGGGGGAGACTAATAGAAAGCGACTTACACATAGGCTGCATTTGTCGATACCCAGGTAGCATTTTTCAATGGAAAAAATGCTGCATTTCTTGCTTTTTTTCTTTGCACATTGCAGGTGTTTCATCAATTCTAGGCTCAGTTAACTTTATTGTTACTATTTTTAATATACGGACCCTTGGCATAAACTTTGAATATCTAAGGCTATTTGTTTGATCAGTGTTAATTACAGTATTTTTATTACTAATTTCTCTTCCTGTTCTTGCAGGGGCGATTACAATACTGTTGATAGATCGAAATTTTAATAGATCTTTTTAAAATGAGTTTTTTTCCCACGATTTTTCGGCGATAAAATCGCTATAGCGATTCAGATGATTGCTCAGATGCTGATGATCCTAGGATCATCAGCATCTGAGCAATTGTCTTTGTGTTTGTCGCAATTTTATCTCTATAAATTTGCGTCAAACAAACCCGAAAAATCACGTTTCGCAGCAACTTAGCGTGTAAATTTAAATTATGACCGTGATGCTTGACAAGAGTCAATAGAAATAAATTTTCCACAAACCACACAATATTCTTCACGTGCAACAAAAAATTACACGGAAAAAGTTCCCGCTCTGGCAAGTTAGTTGGCGAATCCCCGACAGCGCTGAATAAGCCGACGAAATCTTGACCGGCCGTCATCTATCCACCCGTCATCTGTCCTGCGAGCCAAGAACCACATAACCGCAATGTAAATACACTTTACATTTGTGGTTTTTGATGAATGCAGATGATGGTCCCTCTAGCTGGATAAAACCGCTTAACCTCGACGGAATCTTCACGTGTATCCGCTGTTTTCGTACTGATCCGAGCGCGCTCTCTCCGACACTGGCAGCGCCGCGGAGGAAATAAATTGTGTGATAATTACCCGGACCGGTCTCATACGCTCTCATTAAATTACGACGATTACCGCTAAAGGTCATAAATTCATCATTCGTCAGTTTTCTGCGTTTTCGAGGATGTTGGGACCTTGTCGAGGCGCCTCCCGCGAATTATCAGTCGCGCGTCGGTGAATGGTCGCAATTACTTGCGCGCTCCTGTTCTACACTGCCGTGCTGAGGAAAAACGCCGTATAAGCCTTTAGACGTTGCCAAATTTCCTTAGATATATCACGAATTTTCGGGAACTCTAAGAAAAATTTCCTTCTGATTTTTCAGAGAATTTCACCCGTGATTTGATGCAAATAGTGTAAAAATTTCAAGGAAAAATATTGGTAACTTTCCTCAAAAATAATCATTTAACCGGAGGAAATTCGGCAACTCTCGAATGTTCATGGGCGTTTTTCCTTAGCACGGCAGTACAGTGCTAAGGAAAAACGCCGTATGAGCATTCGAATGTTGCCGAAGGTCTCCTTGGAGGATATACATTTTTCAGGAAAGTCATGAGTACTTTCCCTTGAAATTTCCAGACACTTGAGATCGAATTACGAGCAAAATTGTCTGAAAAATTGGGAAAATATTACTTCCAATTTTCTCTGAAAATGCATGACGTGTCAAAAAAAATTGGCAACGTCTGTAGGCTCATAAAGCGTTTTTTCTTAGCATCGAAGCGTTCTGCCGTGCTTGTGGGTAGATCGCAGTGCATTTGAAGACTGCCAAATTTACTCTGGTGGATCATGCATTTTTGGGAAGTTTTCAAACATTTTTCTCCCTATTTTTGGAAGAGTTTCATACGCAATTTCATCTAAAATATATGCTAATTTCAAGAAAAACTTTTCATAAATTTCCGCAAATTCAAATAGCGCAACGGAGGAAAATTTAACAACATTTAACTGTTCATGCGGAGTTCTTCATTCGAAAAGTAATGTCCTGGAAGAAATAAAGGGGCAAATAATCAATTGTTCGAATGTTCGTGTTCCTTGCATTCTCATGATGATTGAGCTTTTCAGTGGGTGACTGGTCCGAGTTATCTCAGGTCGTTTGGATTAAAACCCATATAGGAATTTAAATCCATTAAAAATAAATAATTAATCAAAAAAGGCATTGGTTCACGTCATGGTCCTCCTTCTCTCCTTGGGCGTCTGATTTTGGATGTGTAGATTAAGTAGCGAAACGCACTCTAGATTATTATTCCATCTCTAGGCTTGTGTTCAAAGACACACAAACGGAGAACTTTAGGCTCTGTAAAGAGAAAATTCAACTTAAGCTTGTTCTCAAAGAGTCTACAGAGAAAAAACTAAACACGCGGCGAAAGCTCAAAATCGCCAATTTTGACCTTGTTCCCTGAATCCAGCTTTCCTGGAAGATTTTCTCCTGGAAGGTAAGGTCCCTCTTAACATATCGCGTAACAAATGAATCAGTCTCAAATTACTGCGGGGAGGCAAATGCTGCCATGGGCTCATAATACAATCAATTGGACGTATTTCTGCCGAACGGAACTATGTGTATTAAGACATGAGCCCTGAATTCTACACGAAAAAAAAAAATATGCTGTTTTAGCACCTAGGAATTCAAAAATGTGCCTGGTGATCCCAAGATGCTGCATTTGCTGCCCCGCAGTTAACTTTACATCCTATAAATGCAAATTCAACTCCGTGGGCAAAATCCTAGGTGCTAAAACAGCATACCATTTTTTTCAGTGTATACGAATATACGCATAACAGGGCTCACGTCATAATGCACATAGTTCCATTCGGCAGAAATACGTCCGATTCTCGGAGAGTTTCGGATCTCCAAATTCGTTTTCAGTGAGCACCTCCCGGTAAAGTGGCCTTATTTACACTGAAAAAAAAATTCTCGGCGTTTTTACCAAGGTCCGTTGGTACCTTTACCATCTCACTTTTTTTTACCAATTATTGGTAATTTTACCAAGACAGACTGGTAAGCTTACCTAAAAACCGGTATTTTTACTGTTTTTCTCAGGTAAGAATACCACTTTTATTGGTAATCAATTCCCGGTAACTTCGCCATTTTATCTCGGTAATTCTACCACTGTCGATAAAAAATATTGGCGTTTTTACCGGGGTCCAGTAAAATTACCGAGAAAGTCAATAATTTTACCGAGATTTCTCGGTTAAATTACCAATTCCATAAATGGTAATTTTACCAAGAAAAGACCGGGATCAAATAGAACCCTGAATTCTTGGTAATTTTACTCTTTTCTTAGTAAATACACCGAGATTTTTTTTTCAGTGTAGCCGCGCGTCAACTCCTCAAGTAGCGCGATCATGTCATAGCCTCGGCTTTGTTTTCGGCTTTCACATTTCACACGGAAACGGAGGAGGAGACATCTGCATCCATTGTGAAGCGTGGCGTATGGACGATCATGCGTTCGTCGGGCGCGGGCGAAGGATCAAGTTTTTCGGTTCAACTCCCGTGAAATGGAGGAGTTTCTCCTTCCGCAAACGAGTAGAAACCCGCGGATCGGTAAATTAAAACAACGCTGCGATCCCGCACTGCCCCCCGCCCATGCCCCCCGGCGGCCCGTGACCACTCATCCAAAAAGAATCGAACGAGAGGGAAATGAGTGCCGTCGCGATGCCGGATTTTGGAGCGTTGGTCGATTCTCGCATTCGTCTCTTGTTTTGTAACCTACTTTTCGTTCGGACAAATTTTCATTAATATTTTCTAAAATGCATATGGCAATCAAAGGGAGGGGGCGTAAAAAAAAGAAGGGCGATAAGACAAGAAAGGAAGTCGGAGGGGCGCTTGTATTTGGTAATTATTTATGACAAAATTGACTCGAATTGCACATTAGATGCTTTTAAATTTTGTAAATTTTCCAGGGATAGCCTCTTGGGCCCCCCTCCGCCCAGATCCCCTCCGTGCTAAGTGTCTTGATCCACCTAAGCGAAAATGTATTTCATGTTTTCAATAATTTACTAGAACAAAAGACTCTTGGATTGAGAGGCTTAAATTGAGAGGCTTGACTCTCAATTTAAGAAGAAATTCGATTGGATCAAGAGACTTCGAAGTCTTGGATCATTCCGACTTAAAATTTTGTTAATTTTGCCTTATTATCAACGGCGAAATTCACAGCGGGTTTTTTGACGGTATGCTTCTTTAAGTCTTTCAAAACTAACCCTTGAGAACAAATTAGGCGACGTGAAATCCAGAAACTGGTTCGCTAGTTAGATGCGTCCATATATTTGTAGTCGGATAAAACTATTAAGCCTTCCACCGCAAGGTGTTGGCCCATGGCGGCAGATTTAGGGGGCGGCAAATTTTACAATTATTTTAAATTTAAGTATAAAAAAAACTTCAGATTCAGAAAAAAATTACAAACGAGAAAAGGCGACAAAATCTCTCATTACCTGAGAGGATAGTAATTTCCAATTTGGTCGTCTTTTAGTGATACAAGAGACAGCACCTTTAATTAGTCGAGTTAAGAGTGAAATCAAACACGCAATTTGGCCTGGAACGGGTGCGACTGAGAGAGAAATGATGACGAGGACTTGAGATGAAAAGGAGAAGCCCTCGGCGCGGCGGTCGGCATGTAACACATATTAGCGCCTACAAGACTGCACGAATACTTCACGCATCGTATCAAACACAGTGCGGTCACTGCGGTCAGCGTGAAACGGATAGCGCCTACAAGACTGTATGAATACTTCACGCATTGCGGCAAACTGCACAGTGCGGTCAGAGCGGCACGGCGGCGGAAGTTAGGATTATTAAACCTGATTTATGTTTGTTCTGTCATAACTTTTTCGTTCATTTCTTATAAAGGGAAGGCCTTGTCTACACAGAGATAGGTTTACGGAACCTACTTTCGCGCAAAGTTCCGTGAACTTTTGCTAGTAGTGACGACAAGGCTTTCGCATAAAATGTGTCGAACACGACTAAACGCGTCTTATGCACCCCTCCCCCTGTTGGTTTTTATTTATGTTACAAAACGAATGAGAAGGGGGCAGCAAAATAAAGGCGGCCCATGGGTGGCAAGTAGGTTAATGCGGCCCTGGTGTAGTCGCGAGGTATCACGGACATATGAAGGCGATTTTTATATCCTACTTGCGCAAAGGCACGGCCCTAAAAGAGATGCTGAAGGGAGTTGAATGGCCTTGAGTCCAAGGCCGTCTCCATCCTGATTTTTTTTTTTGAAAGAGGGTAATTTTGTGCTATTTATAGGGATGTTTTATTTTTATCAATCCGCTTTGTGAACTAAGATCATTTCTGTTTACAGAATACGCTTACCATCTATGCCAGAATTTCAATATCTCAAAACCTCCTTTCTTAGATTTTCTCCTCTCTCCTAGGTCGGTTGGCCAGAAATGCATTCTTTTTTATGTGTATCGCTTTGAAGATATACTTTCACTTTGATGATGCCCATCAATGTTGATAAAATGTCAGGAATGCTGAGCAGGAGCAGAACTAGACACTAAGCCTTATCGAATTCGAGACAAACAACGCTTGATTGGAATAAGACTCATCAAGTATGATATCATCCAGCATGCGTGCATCCAGTAGTGCGATAGATGTTGTTGATTTAGTTCTTAATAATGATTGGAAGTCAGCTTGAATTACAAAAAACACGAGTTTACAAATACTATGCTCAGGGATGAACATGGAAGTAGACATTTATTTAAGGGAGCACGTACAAACAGAATAGTCCACTCTGAGGCGCACAAAACCTTGTGCGCATAAAATGCGCTGGAATAAATGCATGCCGTACCAAATTTTTCAAAAACCTACCAAAAATTCTCAGTAAATCTTTGAAAATACAAAAATTAGAGCCCCAAAAATAATGAAATCAATGAAACCTAAAAATCCGACCAAAATTCAGAAAAATCGGCCTAGTTACTGAAACTGCTCAAATAAATACAATACTACATTCTGAAGATTTGGTCCATTTACAGCCATGCTAAACCGAGCTCCATGCGGTAACAAGTCGATGTGCTGCGTTCTCGAAAATATGCACCATCGCACAGTGAAAACAAAAAGAAATCGTGTGCGTCGCAAATTCTGGAGAGGTCGGACATGACATTTCTTAGTAAAACTGCAAATTTACCCGTTTATTATGTCACATTTAAAATGTAAACAGATGATTCTTAAAGGACATTTTTAGGAGAAAAGTTCTTGTTTCATGCTTTTCTGTTTCGGTTTCCCGCCAAAAAATTGTTAATTTTGAAGGAAAATAACTGTGTAAATTGTAATACTGTGCGTATAATAAGTATGTTTAAAAGAAAAGGAAAAGTTGCACCATTTTTAGAACACTGTGATAGCGCGGTTCCTTTCTGCTGCATGCCATCCGAATGTGCCCTATCATGTCCGACTTCTCCAATTGACTTTTCCAGCTGCACTTCACATCGGAACGGGAGAAAATCACCAAATTTCCTGAAGATTTGGCGACCGTGATGTGAATCCGAGCGCCGCGTGGCGCGTGGGTGACAGTCCGGAATATTCAACAGGTCCGACCGCGGCGGTAAGGGGTGAGGGGGGTGCAGGGCAGGAGGGGACCAGGGGTCTAGCGGAGTGGACAAGCATGGGTTTCCGTTCGGAGCACTGATTGTGAATAACTGATTCTCTATTTCTAATTCCTCGGCTCTGATTTCGGATTCTTTTTTTGTCTCGTTTCAGTGTCCCTACTCGCTGGTGACGAGCATCGCTTTCTCCACGATTCTGACGGTCTCCGCTGCATGGCACACCAAGTGGCGCCTCTACGCGGACAAAAGCGCAACCTTGCACAAACCAGTGTCCGACTCCAGGTAAAAAACCGTCGCTACATCTTTTATCTGGTCCTAAAGAGCTATGATTGAGAAAAAAAAAAACGGGTTCGGTGACGCAATTTCATTTTTTCCAAATTAAGATAAATGTTATGCATATATTTTTATGGGTCGCAAAGCTCATATCTTAATGCACATAGTTCCTTTTGGCAGAAATACGTCCAACAAATTGCCCACAAAAAATTGATGCGATTCCCCGACTCTTCGAGCTCGGAATGTGTAAAACTCACGGAAAAAAATGGTTTGCTGATTTAACAATAAAATTGTTAGAAAATATGTTCGACATGTTTCAATTGTACATTTCAAAATAGCAGAAAGCTAATTTAAACACGTGGATTGTTAAATTAGCATTTTTAATCGTAAAATCTACATTGAAACATGTCGCGGGCACTTTGTTTAACTCCAATATTCTTAAATTAGCAATTCGACAGCGTAAGTCCGCAATCACATATCTCGTTTGCGGTGTCTGAAAATCTACGCCTCTACACTGGAAAAAAAAAACACATTAGATTTAGAGTCCAGACTCTTGAAAACATTGACAAGAAAAAGGACTCTTGATTCAATCAGATTTAAGCTTAAATCTTTGGAAATCCACTCAAATTAAGAGGCTAGTTCTTGATTTCAACTTAAATCTGATTGAATCGATAGTATTTTTTCTTGTCGGTGTTTTTAAGAGTCTCGACTCTAGATCCAATGTGTTTTTTTTTTCCAGTGTACGTTATTTTTTGAAAGGAGAACAAATTGACATCATTCCTCGAAGTTTTTGCAGAAATTTTTTCACACAGAGAGGAAAACTCACGGCAGTTTTAAAGCCGTCGAGCAGTTTTCCGTTTAAAAAAATAAAGTATGACAGGAAGTCTGCGACGTCGCAAACCGAGTTATGTGATTGCCGACTCCCACCGTCAGATTTCATTTTTCCCGCGCTCATGAATTTGAAGTCGCTATTCTCCGTCATCGATCACGGCCCCTCACCTCAACTTCACTTTCGGCTTGCAGGTTGCTGCACTGCGAGTTCTCATCTCCGGATTTGGGCGAGTTCGGCGTCTACGACGTCCTGGTGACCGAGGACAGATGTCACGTCCACACGGCCAAGACCCCCGTCAACATTTACGCACGTAAGTATACTGACCTAGAACCACTCGCCCCCCTCCTCCCTCCGGGTTCCGTATCCCTCCCCCGCACGGATGAGCCGCGGTGCGGCGTCATCGTCTTGATCCTCAACCCAGTAGCCCGATTTATTGCCCTCGGTGCGAGCCCTCTTACCCGAAAACCGCGTAACTAGCAAGGGAACGGTGGATGGGATAAGTGGTTTTGGCGGCTCGGATAAAAAGCCGAGCGACAGCTGCCAAGCGTCTGCGGGAAGAAGGTTAACGGCGATAAACCGATGCTCTGCCGTGATAGCCAAGAGAGCAGTAAGTGCATGCTGGGATGAGCCACGAGACACATAAAAACATGCGCTAACCATGGCTCATACAGAACTGCACTTATTACTCACTTCGCTATCACAGGAGTGTCCTCTCTCGTGAAACCTTGGTTTTCGTACTTTGTACTACGTTCAGGTGAATCTACATCGGAGGCAAACAGCATAGATTCGAGATATTGGACAAATCCGACTAAAAGACTCGTTCCAGCTTAAATTTGTTTAGAATCACTTTTGCATTCGATTAGTCAAATCGAACACATTTTTAAGCCCTCTTTTGGAATAATCGGTGATATATCTCAAGAAATTTTAACTAATGACACTTAACTTTCCAACCGTTGACTCACGTCCGGAAATATCAATTACCGCAAGAAAATTTAATTCAAAGAAGAAACCTCATAAATACATTTTGATATTCTGGCTTGCTGATGAACGACACCTACGAGCATCCGAACTTTGCCAAATGTACAGTTAGAAAGCACGTATTCTTGAAAAAAATTATGAATATTTTTCATTGAAACTTTCGGATACTTAAGATCAGCTTGCAAACAAAATTATCCAAAAATTTGGGAAAAAATTCTAACACATTTTCCCAATGATTCGTAGTTTGCCAAAGGTTTGGCAACGCCTGAGGGCTTATATGGTGTTTTTCCTTGGTATGACAGTAATCCAACCTAAATTATGACAGGAAATCCAACGGAACTAATAAATCCCAGGAGTAACAACGGCACTCTCAGATTTCCGTAAATTTTACAATGAAAAACTTCTCGGACACGTATTTACACACTTTTTTTCGTTTTTATTTTAAATCTCGCAAACATAAAAAATCATAATGAACTCAATGCTATTGCTGCTCATATCATTATCAAATCAAAACGAATAACATGGAAGTTCGGTTACAACTGGCACAAGCCCAAACACTCACTCGAACACTACGCCTTGCCCCGCACTACCTCCAGGTCACTGATGACCTCCTCGATGATTCGACTCATCAATGTCTTGCATGACTTGCAGTGACGAATATGATCGTAAACGCCGTACACCCGTTCAAAAAACTCCATCACGATATCCGCATTGACTGCCACCACATTCTCTCCATCACTCCGAAACCGTCGTGATATCTTCGACTCAACCGAGCTATCCGATAATTCCGATTGCTTGCGCCTGCTATTATGCCCGGTGAACAAGCTTCGTCGCAGCTTTTCGTCCCTCCGTCTATCCCGGCACAACGGTCGGAAACACTCGGGCTCCGGTCGCTCAGTCGGTCTTTGGCGACGAGGGCACTTGCAGTCCTCCTTCAGGGAGTCGCGTAGGAGGGTCAATTGCTTTTCCAGACTTTCGTGGCCCCGGATTGGCACGGCTTTGATATCGGAACAAGAGTATTTCCTATCGTGAGACTCCCATGAGCTGACGGAGTCGCCAGGCACTTTCATTCTGGAACTCATTACTGTTTGGTCCGACTTCTTACGCTCTCTGCCTCGGGTATTTTCCTCGCGACTGCTCGAAATACTACAGCAACGGTCCGCACCAGCTCTGACTCGCGCGGACTTTTCGTTCCTCCTGGAGAATATCTCACTCGCCGACCTCCGTATTTCCTTGACGAAAGTCTCGCATCTCCTCAGCTTCGTTTCTGGAGGGGACTCGAACTCGATGGTCCTGAAATCACTGTCGCAAGAGTCAAATAAAGCTGTAGTAGGAGGTTTTTTGCCCCATCCTCCAGCTCCAGCGTTTTCTTCCAGGGGTTTCTCTGCCGCCAGCTTGTTTCTGTTCAATTCGTGGGTTGAGTGATTTTCGGGCGCTGAGCCACTTCTGCCTCTCACCCTAGTGCTTTCAACCACCGCGGATGCTCTACGATTGGTCGATACTGTTTTACTCCGTTCGATCTCTGCGCACGATTGGTTGAACGCGCATTCGACCTCGATATGGTAGGCCAGATCGGACTCCGCGGTAGGTATATCGTAGAAGATCTCCGACCCTGTAGAGAGGTAGGAGGTGGACCTAGAATTAACTTTGTTAGGCGACAGTACTTTTCTCAGACTACCAAACCAAGGTTTCGTCGATGACGTGACGTTAATCTGAGAATCGAGCTGGGTGTATTCTGTGGTGCGCTGTTCCACCTCTGAGGAGTCGCTGTTCAAAAGGTCCTGATCGTCAGTTGTCTGAGATGTTTGGTTCTTAAAAATTGAACCGGGGCCATACGAGGACATCTTATCGATAAAAGTTTCGTCTACGGTCTTCAAAACTGTTACAAAGCTGTTCCGACAACGGGGAGATGACTGAGATTGCAGCTCCTCGGATCGCCGTTTGCAGTTGAGGATCTTCTCACAGCTGTCCATAAGGTCAAATGCCGACTTGATGAGGCGCTCATGGCTCTCTGATTCAATAGGAGGTGAGACTGATTCTTCCGAGCTAGCTGTGGGTTTTGGATGCTTTTCAAGTCTTGGCGATTTCGGAGATGTGTTTGTCGATTTGTTCAATGCTGGCTCTAAAGCAAGAACACTTGTCGTTGCCTCCTCGTCGAGGAGCGATTTGGTACTAGTAGAGATTAAGCGCTCATCAATTGAATTTTCAGAATATTTCTTGGAATTTTCATCAAAAAGACTGTGGCTTGAAGTGGGAAGGACATTTTCAGTGACTTGAGATGACTTCGCAGCTTCAGTAGGTATTTTTGCGTCTCCTCGCTTTTGCATACTAGTGAAGTTAGGTTGAGGTTGCTTGAAATTAATCGGTCTGGTATGTAAATTGTTACCATGATGTTTTTCATTAACGACGTTTGAGTTTTCAATGTCCCTTTCTCTGTTACAGTTCCGAGTAAACTGTTTACTGATTAATTGAGTTCCAACGCTACGATTTTGCTGACCATTTTTCCCTGTGCTTTGTAAGCTTTGAGCCTTAATGTTCTCTCTCCTGCTTTGAAGAAAATTATCAGGTTTTTGGATTCTGGCACAATCACTTACTGCTAATTCTGTCACATTCTGAATGATAATCAATTCCGAGGAATTCATTTTCATTTCCTCCTCAATCATTTTCTCAGTTTTCAAAAAACTGTCAGAATCAGCAATTGAGCAACTTTCATCTTTAGCCGCTGCGTTCGTATGGGTTGGTGTGATTTCATTTTTGATGAATGAGGGGACTCTTGATGATTTCGGCCGAAGTTTATGGATCAACATACCTGAGTCAGACTCCTTCACTTTTCCATCAAACCTACCCTTCAACGTGAGGTTTGAAAGGTTCCGTTTTGTGGTGAGTGACTTTACCTCTGCATGCGTCATCTCTACGTCAACATCTGACGTTTTGTATCCTCCCCGACAGTTGTCCAAGTAATCTAATTTTGGCTGACAATCGCCCTTGTCCATATGGTAGCCTTTTGAGTTTGATGAAGCGAGAACTTTCAGCATAGATGGGGTCTCAAAACACGATGTATTTACTTCGTCTTGTATTAATTGCTTCCAATTGCTTTTTGTAAATACAAGGTGGTGCAAAGGCTTTGCATCAGAAATATCAGGCACAGTAGCTGGGAAGGAAAATTCGCTTGAACTGGGAGTTTTAGGCACCTTATCCGGCTCAATCTTTGAGTAAAAAACACTGCTAACTGGAAGTGTATCACCCGGAGTGAATTTTTTCGGCATCATGAAAGACTTACAACCAATTTTTTCACAGGTGAAGTTTGCGCCACTAGTATAAACAGATACACTAGAGGAGCTCTTTGGATCTCGTTCTGCTGATTTTGGATGTAAAATTTGATTGGACTCACTTAGGAATTCGATAGCTTTTAACACTCGGTCCTCTGAGGAATTATCTTCCAAATATTTTTGAGGTCGCTGAGCGTCCTTGATTCGCCCGTCGTTGCTTTCAAAATCTGACAAAAATCTTTCAATATTGACAATTCTCTGTCCAAGTGACTTGATCGAATCGTTAAAGTTTATTTCTGTTTCTGAAGTTATTATGCCACTCGCGCTCGGATTTTGTGAAATAACAGAGGTGTTCTCCTGGGGAGACATCGCTTCAACCCTCGAAATATTAGAGTCTATTGACTTCTTAAGCCTAATTTTATCAAAGCTTGATCCGGAGACTTTTTTGTTGATTGATGACTTGGCCGCTAACTGGAGGCAGATATTTGAAATGCGTGTTTTGCAAACTGTATCTCCACGGATGACTAAAAATTCATTTTTGTTACAGGTGGCGTTTGAGTTTATCGGAGTGCTCTCACAATTGTTACACGATTTTTCGTTTTTACTTCTCTTGCTGATCTCTTGCCATAACCTCTGCGGATTTACAGAGGGTTCTTCTGAATGTCTACCATTATTGGAATTTCCATTGAGATGTGGAGAGTCATCCCCTCCAGAAGACAGCCGAGATTTGAATTCCTCGAGCATGTCGTCAGAGAAACTGGCTACCGTTGAGTCATTTCCTCCGTTCATATTAAGGAGCATCGCGTTAAGCGATTCATCTGAAATAATTTCCGACGTTTCTTTCATTTTTTGCTCATATTTTTTCAAAACTACTCTTTTCACTACTTCCTCTAACATAAGGTCCATCAAAGTTCCTGAATTATTGCTCGTTATGGTTTTCCCTGAGATGCTTCCGGCAGAAAAATATTCGTCACTTGCCTCTTTTGTTGACTCCCTCAGAATAACCTCCCCCTCTTCCTTCAGTGGAGCTATAATAGATCGGAGCATTTTTATGATCCGCAGTATGTGTGTAAATTCTGTCGACAAGAAGTTATTGAGACTCGAATCAAGAAGGCTTTCACTTAAAGAGCATTTTGAGATGTCTTCATTTAGTATGGGTAATTCTTTTAAAGTATCTCTGGGGGGAACATTAACGTCATGTTTTGCTGAAGTTGAGGGAAAGCGCTGCCTATTGACTAACTTTACGTCGCTATCCAATCCATTCTCAATGTCAAAAGATTCGGATCTCTTAACGCTCTCAGGCACTGAGTGTAAAATTTCAGAGGACTTAAACTGGAAAATGTCTTCGATAGGTGCGTCTTTCAACGACCCCGTCAGAAGCATTTCCGTTGCTTTTTCTAGGCTCTCCTTGTGCCCAAACTTCATTAGCTCTACATCTGCCTGCGACAAATTTACTATAGGTTTTCGGCACATGCATTCTTCGTTGCACAATACTTTGTGCAAGATCATTCTCGCCTCGAGCAAGTACACGCTATTGACCTTACGAAGCATACACAGGCGAGAGCGCACTTCATATTTGAATGCATCATCTTGAAATGACCCTGAATCATTACCTCCAACCTCACGCACGGTCTCACTTGTAGTGGACTGCGTGTTGTCCGAATCGCAGCAGTCATTGGTCTTGTTCCGTCCCTCTGAAAAAGCACTAATCGAACGGTCACTAGTGTCTGAGATAGAGCTACTTTCATCTTCCGAGGACAGACAACCGATGTCTACATAAGACGAACTTGTAGCGTGGACTGGAATATCTAGCGATTCCTGGTTTTCAGACGTCGATAGAAACTGATCGAGCTCTGCTTCAAAATGACTCGATTTGATCATATTTTCCTGATCTTCCTGCGCCGCTCGCCATAGTGCTGATAAAGAACTGACGTTGGTATTAGCACTGGTTAGGGAGTCAAACATTTTACTACGGACCGCGATTGCGTCCGCGCTGACGGCTCTGTTGCTGTTGATGAGCTGGAACAAGTTATCGATATCTTGCAGACTAGCGCAAAGGTGGGCCAATATGTGACGATAAAGGTGCTGATCTGTAGATGATTCTCGCTGGATCCTAGCAATGGTACGATGTATCTCCTGCATGGGGGAAAGTACCTCCATAGAACCATGGTTATCAGTGATGGCCAAGGCTTCCTGGATCTGCATGATTGTTTTCAGATCATTTTTTAGACCTTTCAACTCGAAGTCAAGTTCTCTGACAGACGGGTGATTTTCAGATTCTTGGTTGACGGAACGGGGGGAGTTGTTCAGGATCGAGTCAACAGTCTTCATGCGGGGAAGGATTTGCGCATCAAACCGTGGTCGGTCACAAAGGGCGAGCAGCACAGGTTCGATGACATTTCTTATGATGACTTTGCAGTAGGTGTAAAAATGACTTTCCACCTCGGTGATGAGCTCAGGGCTTGGCACCGAGGCTGTTAAAACTGAGTTCTCTTGGGTTTTGGTCATTTTTTGTTCAGTCAAGTTCAGACTATCTAGTTATTGAGAAGCATTGGTGCAAATTTAATCTGAAAACAAAACAAATTCTGTAAATCCATGAGTTCATTCCATTAGAAACCTGCGCTGAAAAAAAACTCCGGCCTTGGGAGCCGCAATTACGGGCTATAGACATGCCGTCCGTTCCGGGCTTAAAGGCCGAAAATTCCGGCTACTGGAACCGTAGCTTCGGCCTGTGAACCCGGAGCAATCGAGGCTACGCCTCAAGCAGCCGGAATTTTCGGCCCTTGAGCCTGGAACGGACGGTATGTCTATATAGCCCATAATTGCGGCTCCCATGGCCGGAGTTTTTTTTCAGTGTGTGCCAGACTTCAGGGACCGACTTTTAGGGTCGAAGTATGACTTTTTCCGTCCATAAAGTTTTTCTAAAAACGCTTTTTTTATCCTCCAACGGTACAACCCGACAAAATTGGACATTTTCCCCCAATTTTCCATAACTCTGTCTCAAAACGTCACAATGAAAATTGAGTTCCTTGGATAACTTTGAGCTTAATTTTCATTTTTTATGGTTTCAAATCCCTAAGATTTCGTGAAAAAACGGTAGGCAATATCTGTAGGTACATTAAAAATGGCTGTAACTTTTGAATTGATGAAATTTCTTCAATTATAATCACACCACGTGAAAGCAAGCTAACTTTTGATGACAGACGGTTATTATTACATTTTACTAAAAATGTATGGAAAAGCTCTTCTACTGCTAGCTATCTGTTACCTGGGATGGGCGAAAACATATGATTTTCCTTCAATTTTGTATGATACCACATACCCACTCCGGAGTTCAAATAGTTGCTCGCTTCATTTCTGCTTGTTAAAAGTGACGAATTGCAAGAATTCAATCTCGATTTTACGAGAACTATGGAATGTAACCATCGGTTTCCTTTTATAAGATTTATTAATGTTTTGAATTTTTTAAAAAAAAGAAAAGCATTAGCGATGATCTAAAATTTTGCAAGTATGACTCGTGTGTTTCGGTGAACTATGATAGAAACAGAAAGCAGGAAGAAAATGTCGAAGCTATGTTCTAGTTTTGCTCCACTGTCAGTACCACGTCTGCAGGCGCAGTGTGACCGAGCCGTCATCACAGTATAGAACGCCTTCAATCTAGCAAGCGGCAATGTGGACATTCCCCGTGGTGAAATAGTTGTATCAAGAGCGCCTTCAAGTCAAATATTGATGAAATGCGCGCGAAAACCCCGCTTCTCCTCCGATTGCAACGTTGCACGCCGTCTTGATGTTTCATATTGGTTTATTTATTTTATTTTTGAAGCCCAACAACAGCTTCTCTCAAAATTTTCCGAGAATTTTCCTTAATCATTTCAAAACAGAAGATAAAAATAACAAAAAGTAACCCCAGGCAACGTGAAAATTTTTTATACTTCGAAATTTTATCTTTGATAGAGCTGGGTCTCAGCATCATAAAAACTTCACATTGTAGAATCACATCGAAATAAACTTTACTAGTATTGTGTCAGGTTAAGCATTCCCTGTTAATTGTTTTTGTTTACATTTATCCTCACAATTGCCAATCGTTGTTCTAAAAAATCACTAACTTTCCTTTTTTTCTCGAGCTAAAAGGACGGTATTTTTCTTAATTCATCACAATTTTTAAGCAATCTGTAGCAAGACAAAATAACAATGATTTACCTTTTCAAATATATGTGAAGAAAAAAATTAGGTTTGTTCCGGAGAAAAAAACATCGTAATAATGGGACGAATCAGCAACAAGGCTTAGATCAAGGTGGTCGAGTTGTGAGAGTGGTGGAAACTTCTGTCACCATGGATTCCTAAGATAGGACAAGATGGACACTATAATTTGCAACGCAAAGCTCATAAATTTGGAGAGAAAATTTTTGGAGCCACTGACATGACTGGATTTCAGTTTAATTGAATTGCGCGCACAAATAATTTATCAACATTTAAGTAATTGGGTGTATGTTAAAGTAAAAACGAGGATTTTGAATGGATTTCGGGGTGCAATTCCTCGTAATGAAGTTGTTTAATGTTTCCGAATTTTTATCCTTCTCGACGCGCCCCTTAACCTTCAAATCTGATAACCTCAAAAACTGCCGAAGATTTGTTCATTTAGTTTTGGGTGCATTCAATATTTGTTTTTAAAACCTATAATAATTCCGTTCTCTGCGTACCTCACTAACTATTAAATCTATGACTTAATGTCTTTTTCTGTTTTTTTTTTATTACATGCGCCACAACTTGAAAATTTCCGCGGGAATTTTTAATAGAAGTTTTTCCTTTTCTCAAGCCAATATCTCAACCAATGGCGCTTGCCTCTCTGATTTTTGTTTTTGCTGTTCGTTGAAAACTAAAATACAAGCATTTGAATAGACTTTTTGCTTAATCAAACTCATCTTAGTTTTGGAAATATTAAGGGCAAAAGTATTGGAAGATTCTAAAATTTTTACTAAATCGTATCTCATAATTATTCTTTTCGTCCACCTCACCCCTCCCTCCCCTTCTTTTTCTCTCCTGTTTTACGAATCCGTCCGAGCTCTCAGAAATACTTATCTATGAAAAGATGAAAATACGATGCAAATGTATTCAAAATAACTAAGATTATGAAGAATCTTGCAGAACTTAAATATATTTTTTGTTAAATTTTTTGGACATACCTACTTAATATTTTTCATCGGACACACATGCATCAAATTTCATATCATTGCTCAGAATGGTAGTACTCAGTAGTTTTGTGGAAAAGGGCGTATCCACTAAAATTTTCAACTGACTTTATTTCTTGCCCGATTTCTACGACCCTGTTTGTGCGATTGTGATCTCATTACGGACCGAATGTACCAGAACATCGGTTGATTTTTCGAACAGAAACATGAAGAATTGTTGGATAATAATGTTTCTTAAAACTTGGTTTTTGGCGATGAAGCTCTTCTTCAAATCACCTATTCAATCAATATGTAATCATATGTTATTTTTCTTTTCAGCATTGATACTAGCTGTCCTCGCAATTTTAGCGCTTTTGACAGGGTACATTATTTTGGAAAACTTCTTGGAGTCACGGAAAAAAGTCATCGATGAGGTAGGACTCTTCGATTTTTTTTCAAGTATTTCTACATAGAGAGAGCCTTTCTAAGTAAACCATCATTTAAACATGCAAATATTACAAAACCTCACCAATAAAATATTCACTTTTCGAGGAAAGTTTTAAATCAATTTCCTCGAAATTTCCAAAATCTTTAAGTCAAAATGTGAACACAATGCTCTAAAAAATTCGAAGAAAAAAGTCTCAAGCTTTTCAAAAAATTCATTTTCCCTTCAAAGTTTGGCAGCACTCGAATGTTAATATTTCGTATCCACACGGCAGCATTGATCTTTATTCCCGGCTCCGTGTATCCAAAATCGGCTCAAAGAGCAGCAAAACCACCGCCCTGTCAATGCATATCCATAATTCGTCGTCTCTCAGACGTTAGGGCATATCTCAATATCCCTATGAGCTCTGTTTTATATATATAAAGCCATGCTTTCTGGGGCCCATGCGGAAATCGAGCTACGCCCTTACGCCAGAAGAGCGACGAATTACTCGCACCCGATTGGTACTCATTATGCATCTGAAGCGACTTGATCCCGTCAAAAAGTGTGAGCTTTGAGGGGATGATCCTCGCTATCCGCGTCAAAGTTTATCGCTATGCGGCATAAGATCAAAACGTACCTTTGAGGTGAGCCTTTTAGTCCATGTACAACTCCATCCTCTCCAGGGCTCATATACAAAGGTAGTTAGGTTCTTCTGTCGGCAAAATACCAAATTGGGATGATCCGCGAATCCGTCACTCGATGTGCTTTCGACTAAACGCTCATTCTCTTTACATATACAAGAAGTGGCAGGAACGAAATGGAAAGCCGCTCTGCAGCCGTAAGTTTAAACTGCAATGCGTGTTAAAACGGTGCCTTTCGACGGCGAGGTGTGTTTAGGATCCTGTAGAGAGGGCTGAAAGGTATCGACGGATTCAGCAAATTGGCAACATTGTTTTTCTTCATTTACAACCATGTAAATGTATCGATGTTGTGCTCCGACAAGAATCGATTATTTAACATAGTTTAAATTGAGGAAACCTAGCGTTGCCAAATTTCTGGATCCGCTCTGATAAAGGTAGGCTGGGAGAGTTTCGCATAGGATTTGAAGGAACATCACAATCAAAAGGTATAAAAGTTGCGTAGAGTCAGCGCGGGAGTAAAGACGATTTTTCTGACCGCTCAATGATGAATACACCTTGGTCTACTGAGGTAGGATTCTCAGAGGGTAGTGTACATAGTCGAAATGTCGTATTTCTCACGGGAGACCGTAACTACATTTCAATGTTGCCGGATTTTTCCGCGCAAATTTCATTTTTACAAATAGAATTTCGATAATTACTGACTGAATTTCACTGATTGTTCTTCTGGTCCTTTGCGGGAATCAGACAAATTTTTGAGAAAAATTGTGTAGGTTTACGGAACACGGCGGTTTTTGTCAAGTTTGGTAAAAAATAATTGGATCCAGAAAATTCCGCGGAAAATTCTCTCAAGTCTTCCGAAAAACAAAATTGGATCCAAAAAATTCTACAGAAAATTCTCTCAAGTCCTCCGAAAAATATGTATTACAAGTTATTTAAATAAGTTTTCTGCCAATAAATTACGTAATATTTCATTTTAACCCAACAATGATACATTCAAATTTTTAATTTTACTCCCTTGAATCCACGTTTTTTGAACTGCAAACTAAGACTTCCACACTTCAAACCATCGTAATTTTCATTCCATATGAAATTATTACTGCCCTTCATCCCATAAAGTTTGTAAAAAACTTCTTAGTTACGTCCTGGCGTCAATGATGCATTTAAAATATTTCGTAGAATAAGGTCCCTTTCCACGTGGACGACATATCAAATATTATTCGCAGGCTACGGGTTTCGTAATTTTGGAGGTCCGTAATTGATGACAATCAAAGCGTCACGTTTGGTGACCGGTGAAAAGTAAAATTCGATCGCATTGCCTCCACGAAATTTTCGCGGTTTTTGGCGGGTTTTTGTGGCGTGCATGAGAGTTTTTGCAGTCACAAAGGGTACGAGCTCCCGGTCATTTGATGCAAGAGATCCCGGTTGTTCGTGGTTTTCCGCTGTTTTTCACTGAAAAGAACACACGTGCCAGAACGGTAGATCGATATAGAGCATAATTACTCTTTCCAGGTTTTCTATTTTTGTGGTAGTCCCTCTGGAAGAGGATTTTAGTCCACAAAGACTCAATGTTGAGTCATTCATACCAGAGCAAACAGCTAAGGGTTCTAATGACATTAATAGAGGCAGGAACTCAAAATATCAATCTTGAGTCATGACAGTTTAATATTTTAAGTTCAAATAACGGAATTTAAAGGAAACGCTACTTAAATTTCTTGTCTTCCGTGTGAAAAAAATAATTATCAAGACGGTTAATTTTTTTTTCTTTTGGACATTAAAAATATGTTTATCACCCTAACTCGCAAAAATCTTGCCACTGTGCTATGTTGACTAAGGTATCTTATTTCCTGGACAATTCATTTGGGCTAGATTTTTTTCGTGATAATTCAAATTAATATTTTTGTGCTCAGGCAATTGCACGTACAGTCTGACATTAATCACACGATAAATACGCTTAAAGCACCGATAACACAAATTGATTTCATAGCAAGTTAAGGTTACAATTGTGTCTGATGAAGTCTCACTGCTAATTCTACTACACTTGAATTAATTTTACATTCTGCATGAGTATGTATTTGTACAACAAAAAATTGCATTGGAGCTAAATCAGCACCAAAGTAAAATTCGGCATCCACAATACAGTTAGAACTTCATTAGCTCGTTAAGTGGATCAAACGAGATGAAATAATAACTATACTTTGGCTCTAAACTTATATTGTGCGACTGGTCGTTGGCTGAAGTCGAAAATTGTGCATCACAGATTGTGACGTTGTTAGTCTCCGCTCATACCTTATTTTTTTAAAGAAAAACTAATCAACAGTGTCTCCAGAAATTGTATATGAATCTTTCTCACTCATTCATAAAATAATCACACAATGCAAATATTTATCATATATTTTCCTTGGAGAAAATAAACATATTAGGGGGCATAACATCGTAAGCTGATGTACGCATGTTACTACTGATATTAGAGTATGACGTCATGAAAATCTTGTCTGAGCGGGCCGATTATTGAAATTGACAGGCAAAGCTTTAGACAAAGAAGACAAAAGAGATATGGAGTGCTCCTATTGGTGGAAATGGGTGGTTGCAATAGACAAAGGAGGTAGGTAGTAGAATAACTAAGCGCAACCCACGAGAGACCCTGTAGTTAGTCCATCACTTTCTCCCTTAGTCTATAGGAACCACCCATTTCAACCAATAGGGTCATTCCGTTCTCCGTATGCCTTGTTTATCGCTTTGTCTATCAATTTAAATAATCAGCTTGCCGAAAGGCGACCGAAACTGTGGGAGCACCCCATCGGTCCGGAGGCCGGAGTGCTCAACGACGTGGATGTTGAGGTGCTCTTGTTTAATGTTTACGCAACAATTACCCGGGCCAGGAACGAACGGAACACGAGCAACTTGGAATACAAGTGGCCATAATCGTTTGATTGTTTAATTGGGCCCACTCCGGCTCCCTGATGTAGCCAGCGTCTAGCCTCTCATGCGATGTTGCCGTCCTGCCCATAAGTATCTGCAATAACTGGAGGAAGTTTGACTTCGCAAGCTCAAGAAGTTTGCTAGGTCTTTTGCCTTGACGGAAGGAGGTCTTCGAGGGACGAGATTGGCCCTTAGGTATTTAGGGTCGAGACTGAATCCTCTTCTTGGATTTAAGGGCATTATTGTATATTTTTGGGATCCTGCACTAATGATCTCAGGGATGTTATCGTGTTCAGTCAAATTTCAATTCGGAGCTCAACAATTATTTTTTACCCAATGATGATTAATGACTAACTTGTAGAGCAAAAAATCAAATAAAATTCGCCTGATTAGAAATTTCGGGGTGAGTATTTTATCTCCTTTCGGCCCAAGTGTCACAAGCGCCGTGCGACATTTTAAAAAAAAAATTTACAGCGGAATTGTTGGTTGAATCTGCTTGAAAATTTCACTGATTCTCATCGGCAGCATAAAGAAAATGCAATGAAACTGTCGGACAGCTTTGTTGAAAATAAAATGTAGATATATTGATAAAAGCTTGTAGATATTTCTCTCTATCTTTGTAGATATATAAAATGGCGGCGGAAATTTTGAAACGTCGCATGGCGCTTGTGATACTTCGGCCGGGAGGTGAAAATTTTGCGATGCGAATTTTTGCAAATAAGGTTGGAATTGCGAAGCCAATTTCTCAACTTTTTGGACTTCAGTCATACAGGGAAAATATGCTGCGGGATTTCAAAAGATATTGTCTCCGACAACCGCATGAGGTAAAGGAACTTTGACTTGGCGGGCGGAACAAGTTTGTTGGTCTCAGAGGTACGGCAAAGTGACAGAAATTTTCAGCCAAAGGGCTTTAACTCGTGGCTTTCCTGCTGGGACGATCCATTCGCAACCCTGTGTCGGCAGCAAGAGGCTCAAATTCACTGCGCGACCCAAGAGGGTCGCCGGAGGATTACTTTGGGCCCTTAATAAAATTTTCCGACGTGGTCTTTTTCGACTCTCCCAACGTACGGCCAAACAAACAGAATTTTCGGCCCTAAATACCGTAATCATATGAGTTACATGTAGAAACGGCATTACGCTAGCCAGAATACCATTTTCTAAGACCTCTCAGAAAAGTTTTAAATGTTGTTTCTTTCAACTAGACCGCGGTAAAGCACCCAGCTGCACTTTGGATATGATATTTTTCTAAACATGAGTGAAGTCAATCGACGCAAAAATTATCTCACTACACTGGAAAAAAAACACATTGGATCGAGAGTCCAGACTCTTGAAAACATTGACATTTAATCTTAAATCAGAAGGAAATCCGCTCAAATTAAGAGGCTTGGTTCTTGAGTTAAGCAAAAATCCGATTGAATCAAGAGTATTATTTCTTGTCGATGTTTTTAAGAGTCTGGACTCTAGATCCAATGTGTTTTTTTTTTTCCAGTGTATCCTGCTTACATAGGTAGTATCTGAAATCGCTATCTTACGATCCGATAGAAAAACAACCTTAAACTTCAAGGAAACTACGACAAATGGCCTATTTAATACTCTGAAAGCGGCAACCTGTTAAACCCGTACTTTTCCCCCGGGAAATATGAAATTTCGGCCTGACATTGCAACCTTAGCTAGTAATTACCTCGCGGCATTCAATTATACCACTATTATTTCGACTCAACTTGCAAACTGTTGAGTCAGCCCACGACCTTAACTTCTTCCCATTCAAGTAAAAATGCGGCCAAACATCTCCAGAATCGAAAAATTTAATTTAATTAAACCTATTGAAGCGTTTGAGGTAAAGCTGGAGGAGAATACGTTAGTAGAGTGGAGACATTCGGACAGCAGATCGTACCAATTTTTTGTCTCTCTTTCTCCTAGAAAAAGTCTGATAAATTCTGAGTTTTTGTGGGCCAAGGTTTTCCCATTGTAGACAGTCACACTTTTAAGGAAAATGATTTGTCATTTTGAAGATAATTATATCATGGGCTAAGACAACAAAGAAATACATGGATTGCTGATTTAACAATTGAATTGTTAAAAAAATAATAAAAAATAAATAAAAAGTGTCCGACACGTTTCAAATGTACGTTTTAAAATAGTGGACAGCTAATTTAACCACGCGGGTGGTTACAATAACATTTTTTATTGTAAAATCTACATTGAAAGATGTCGGACATTTTTTTAACTACAAAATCGTTAAATCGGCAATTTCATTTTGCCGAATCATTTGTTGTTACACGGAATTTTCCGTGTAACAACATTTCTGTTCATTTGTTTCCAGATAAACTAGGTAATTTTATTTCAGTCACAGAAGTATTGGCCTCGCAGACTGATGGAAAAATCTCAGGATTTGGTGAAAAAAGTGACGAAAAATGCACATACATTTTAAATAATAGCTTGATAAGTGAATCAAAAATTTGAAATACTTTTAATTTATATAATATGTTTGCATATTTATAGGACGATCCTGACTATGAGAAAAGTCCGAAGAGAAGAGTGAACTGTGTTGACACGTTTCGAGGGTAAGTTCTTTAAAGTTTTTTTTTTTTTTTTTTCCTCCAAAATAATACTCCATCAATGGGCACATTGATTACGTTTAGTTAGTTTTGTTTTTGGTGCTTGGGATATTTGCAACCTCAAGAGGACATTTGAAGGCCCTGGTAAAAATTGGCAGTAGAATCTGTGTTCCAAAATACCATAGACCTACAGCCGACTGTAAGATTTCCAATAGCTTCTATAGCCGACAACACAATTTCTTATAGCCTTTTGTAGCCGATGGCGATTAAGAAACAGCCTGACGATGAAGTGTATTCTATCCGTTCTATCCGCAATGAAAAAAAGTTTAAGGGAGATTTGAAATTTCAGGGAAATAGTCCATGAATATCCACGAGGTTGTGAAATATTTCGTAGTTTTCAGTGGCTGAGAATGCAATCTGCACTCAAAAACACAGATAATGCACACAAAAAATTATGCATGCATCTGTGGGACAAAAGAATCAAGTTTACACACAGTAGCCATACATGCATACATTTGAGCAATTTCAGCTTCATTATAACGTTTCCTCGAAAGTCGAAAATTGGATCGCATCAAGCAAAAATAAACCAGCGCGATTACAGTGTTGTAAAAATGTTGGTTTTTCATAATTATCTGAAAATCTCTCAGAATAGCAAATACCTTTTGCTCCCCACCAAAAAATTGTTAATTTTAAAGGAAAATAATTGTGTAAATATTAATACTGTACATATCGTCACCTTCCAGGCAAAGTATCACAAGCGCCATGCGACGTTTAAAAATTTCCGCCGCCATTATATTTTTTTACAGAGAAATTGTTCAACGAAGCTGTCCGAAAATTTCACTGAATTTTCTTTGTGCTGCCGATAAAATTTGGTGAAAGTTCCAAACAGATTCAACCAACAATTTCTCAGTAAAGAAATAAAATGGCGGCGGAAATTTTTAAACGTGGCGCTTGTGATACTTTGCCTGGAAGGTGACGATATATTGAGTATTTTCAAAAGGAGGGGAGAAGTCAGTGGCGTGGCGTGCTTTGCGATATATCGATTGTTATGCCGTTTAAACCTATGGAATAGGATCGATAAACAGAGTGTTCGCTGCGAACACCTTAATAATCGATTATTTTACATAGGTTTAAATGACATAACAATCGATATATCGCAAAGCACGCCACGCCACTGGGAGAAGTTGCACGATTTTGAAAACACTGTAATCACGCTGATTCCTTTTTGTCAAATGCGATCCAATTCACACTCGCAAATGAAAACGAAAAATGCGATTTTTAGGTGTTGATTTATTCTTGAGTCCCTGCTCCATCCCCATTCATACTTTTGATCATAAATCCCCCCTTCCCTTAATGGGATATCGATGACCCTATGACGTAAGGTCGTATCTCAATTTCAACGTGAGGCTTGTTTTACATGTGAATCCGTGCGCTCTGGGGCTCATGCGGACATCGAGCTATGCCCTCACGTCAAAATGACGACGATATATGGATTACATTTTGCAACAAGCTGCCTCAATCTCTGGCTCTTCAATAAAAGCACCTTTCTGCATAGAGAAACCGATGATTCATAAATGCTGTTTATAAAATGCCAGAAATAGCCAGAAAGCCAGAAATGTTTTAGCCAGAAATAGTGGTTCCTTCTCGCAAATTGTGGTCCATATGTCTGCGTATTATCGCAGATTCGACTAAGGGTAGTTGTGATTTTACACGTATTGTGAATTTTATTTATTGTTAGTTTCACGTTATATCATTTCTATTGCTTTGGTTTGCTGTTACAGGTTTGCGATCATCTTAATGATTTTCATAAACGACGGAGGGGCTAGTTACGTGTTTTTAGAGCATGCGACCTGGGATGGCATTCATCTTGCGGACTTCATTTTTCCATGGTATTTCTGAAATTTACAAATTGCATTGGGACGAATTGATCATCAGCGGTTAAGCGATATAAACCGATTTCATATCAATTTTGCACCAGTAGTGGTGCCGGAAATCGGCATTGATAAAAAAGAGAATTTAAAACGAACTTATGGACGTTACATGTTACAACGTATTGCGAATTCTGGTTCTGAGTTCATTGCAAAAACTCTCCGTTAGAATTGCAGTTAATATACCGATCAAATAGCAGCGTATTGCAATCATAGCTTGTTGGGTCAGTTTCTTAAAAACGCAGTATTGGTAGAACTTTTCGTAAGTAGATAATACTGCTATCCTCCATGTAAATCCATCAGAAATAGTCTGTTTTAAGTAAGATAACCTGCCTCGATATGTATATCGATTGTTTTACATGTATTCAATAGACTAAGCCTAGTTTCGCAAACTGAAGAGAATCTACATTACTTTTCGTCCATTTAAATCTGGTATAAATAATCGATTTTAAGTATGACACCTGCTTCTAAACATCGATTTTTCAGAAACGTAATTGAAATGGGCAAAGCTAAAGTAAGAGTATTGCAATGATATCAGATTAGCACTCATATCAATGATGATCCACGTCCATAGACACGAACTTTTCAAATGAAGTTGAATATTTTATCAGCTCATACTCATCTTCATTCGATCCGTGCGAAAACGATAAAAAAAACTCATATTTCCACTGAAGCACCGATGAATAAAAGAGTAAAATTCTAGTTTCATCAACGATATCGTCCAAAGACCAGCGACGAGGTAACAGCACATAAAATCGAGAATAATAACTTGCGACGATTGAATGAGTTCGGTTCTTTAAAAAAGGTCATAGTTTATGACCCAAAACTACCCTCCGAGTTAAAACCAGCAGTCTGTCTCTCTCCATGGTGACGCCAGTTTGCGATGTAAAAATAACAGTTCATTAAACTCAGCTCGTAGACGCCATTAACGTGAACTCTGCGAATAAATAGTCGTTTTTGCGATTAAAAACAATACATTATCCCAAGGATTGAAGCTTTACGTCCAAATGCGAAACTTTGCGAGGGCTATTCATGCTTTTGCGTGGATGAAGTTTCTAATGGCAGCCTTTAAGAGCTGGCATTTTAGTTCAGACGTATTCCTTTTCCACAATTGAAGTGCTTTTGAAACTCTATAATTTTCCTAAGAAATATACTTACTCTCGAATGGTTTTCGAAAAAATGAACAGAAATAGTCTTTCAAATCTACGGTTTATTCAGGTATAATTCTCAATGGAGAATTTCGACTAAATGCTTTAAAAAATTATGCTGTACTCCCTGAATCTCCTCCCTGCGAATCAATTGACGCCTCATCTCTTTCAAAGCCAAAATAAAGATAAATCCAATGTGATGAAACTTTGTATCTCTAAATCTTAAATAACCGTAAAATGGGAATGTGAAAAAGGTGTGTCGAATTTCTAGTGCTAATGAATGTACTTACGTACCTGTATGAAGGCGAAGCTTTGAAATTAACAAGTTTGCTGATCAGTATTCGATTGTTAGAGATTTAATAATTCCTAAAAATAGCTGGAATTTCCTGGCGAAAATGGGCGCAGTTAAATATTCAAAAATACGAGCAAATGGATTATTCTTTCTTTAATTTTTGTTTGTCTTTATTAAGTCCATTTTTAAACATTTAACTGCATTGTCAGAGGCTCAAAAAATACTTGCCAAATTTCCAATTTTTGACTTTGACGGATCAAAAAAACTGCCGTTACCGAAAAATCTTACGATTCCGCCCGATTATTCGACGTCATCAACTAACCAGAATTGACGATAATTCGTGACGATATTGAATCCATTTTTCTGTCATTAAACGAAAAAAAAATTCTAAAAAATATTACAATTCTGATCAAATTAATTGTTTTAAAAACTGTTAACCTTAATTCTTTTTTTTTTTGCGTCTTAGGTTCCTGTGGATTATGGGGGTCTGCATTCCACTTTCCGTAAGGTCGAGTATGAAAACCGGCGCGCCGAGGTATCAAGTGCTCGGCAGGATACTCAGGGTAAGCATCTTATCAATGAATTAAATGAATTAATGAATTAAATTACCATTACAAGACCAGTCTAATTTTTTTTTCAGAGGTATAAACGGTGTAATCTTAATTATCAATATGAACCTTAATTCTGAGGATCATTCCTATCCTCTTCGGTAACATGACTTAATAGCTATAGGCGATATTTCTACCGTCCAGCAAAAATGCCGTAACTTCATTCTAAATTTTTTATTTTTCTCCCACAGCATTTTAAGTCAGAAAAACCATCGAGGATTCATCTCTCCTACGGAGAAAAAAACTTCGTGCGTGGGACCCGAAGTTGAGGTCATATGGATCGCTGAAGTTTTCGGATCACGTATCTAAAAACTTGAGGTCGAGCTGCCAAAGTTCGGGTCAGACATTTGAAGTACTTCGATCTATACCGAAGGGTTCGGGTCACACATCTGAAGTACTCCGGTACATATCGAAGTGCTTCGATGTCTTATCCGCGCTTCGGCAGCTGGACCTCAAGTTTTCGGATGCGTGATCAGAAAACTTCAGAGATCCATATGATCTCAACTTCGGGTCCCATGCACGATTTTTTTTTCTCCTTGCATATTTTGCGAATTGCGACTTTTTACTGCGGAGAACTTGAACGACAAAATGAATTCATGTTGATGACTAGGACTCCCCGTTATGGAGCAGTATGTGTAGTAGAAAATAGAAATATTTAAAAAGAGTTTTATAGTGTTGATGCGGTGGGCGGCAGAATTGGCACCAGAGGTGATCAATCTAATAACAGCCACGATTTTTCAGTTGACCAACGCAACGCACCGCACCGTCCGTACGTCACGCAGCTCGACGAGTGAGAGTGACGGACTAATCTGCCGTGCTTGGTAAAAACGCCGTATGAGCCATCAAGCGTTGCCAAATTCCCTTCGACAAATCGAGAATTTTCACGGAAATTTGTAAATCTTTAACGCCAAATTTTTCACAGGATTTCGTTCGTAATTTGATCTAAAAGGTCTAAAAATCGCATGGAAAAATATTCATAACTTTCTTTAAAAATTAAGATTTCCCAATAGGAAATTTGGCAACATTCGAATGCTCTCACGGCGGTTTTACTCAGCATGGCAGTGTGGCCGTGCTGAAGAAAAACACAGTATAAACCCAGAGACGTCACCAAATTGCCATCGATAAAATGCGATTATTTTCCGAAACTTTTGAATACTTTATCACTGATTTTTCACAATATTTTATTCCCGGTTCAATCCATGGTATCCTGAAATCTCGAGAAAGAATGGTCCTAACTTCCCTGAATAATAAATATTTCACCGGGGGAAATCTGACAACGTTCCGAGAATCATAAGGCAATTTGCCTCACCACGGCAAGCTGGGTCGTGACAATCGTGACATCGCGATTTGGACAAGTGTGAAATCGTCATTGATTTGCCCCCCCCCCCCCCCNGCGGTGGTCTGTCCTCTCGAGCCGCGTAATTACTTTGTAATAAGCCTTAATCTGGATGAGCGCACGAATGCCCTTTCATCCAGTGGAGACGTGAGTGATCGATTATCGATATTTCCCCATTTGAAGCTGCGGTGAAGAATCGATCATCAAGGTGATCCTTGCGAACACCCTGTTTATCGATTTTTTTCCACCGGATTAAATGACAGATCAGTCGATGTATCGTAAAGCACGCCACGCCACTGCTTTCGTCGCCCGCCCTCATCAAATAGCCTTGCCTCATACAATTTTACGCATTACCACCCCCCCCCCNCCCCCCCCCCCCCCCGGCGATCATGAATTTCTATTCCTCCTTCTATTTCTTTCTTCCGTATCCCTTTCCCCAACCACTTTGGTTTTTTGAGATCGAGCTTAAAGTGGTTTCTCGCTGGATTGTAGGCATAAAAATCGATGATGAGCTTGCGAAACCACAAATCTCAGTTTGCGACGTTGCAAATTTTCTTATTTTTTTTTCAATTGCGGCTGATCGTCGCCAACTCTAGTTAAATATCCTTATAGGATGCGTCTCGACTACACTTAAGTGCGGCTCAAAGCTTTCTGATAGTCGGTGGTGCGGTTTGAATTCATCGATGGATATTGTACCTCCATGTGAGAGACTCAAAAAAATCGGCCCCTGACTCGTTCTGGTCCAGTCTCTGAAAAAAATTGCTTCCCCCCTACCTACAATGAACGGCAGTAATTTTAGAACACCACGCAATGGAGACAGGTTTTTATGCAGCTCCGCCGTCAATTTTCATCTATTACATTACTTAGAGCTTTGTTCATTTTTCCGCCATCGCAGTTTGGAAATGATACCAAACGAATTGCTTTTATATTGAAATGCCATTTTCACTTAACTTACTTCACCAAGCGTAGAGTGACGTCAAATCAAACTATTGCAGTGACCTGAAGACGAGGGACTTAGAAGTTCTACTCTTAAAAGATTCAAAAATCGGATTCATACCTCGAATTTTAATTCGATTTTCGATCTAAAAAGCCGAGTCTTCGTTGTGACGTTGTTAAAAGGGGAAAAAACGGTCTCGGAGTTTGATCTTCATTCATAAACGTCAGACCATCAAAGCGGGTATATTATTTTTGGGGAAGGGATGGGGCATTTTTACTAAATTTTCAAGCTCGCTGCATGGAAGAGAATATCATCACCTAAAAACAACTCTTCACCCCGTCGTCCATCTCACCAACCACTTAAGGAGACAAATATTTGTTTTCATACACATTCAAATATGAGGGTACATAAATATTACTTACAAAACGCGCTGTATAGCCCCTTGGAGATCCCATAATCTTCCCCCCAAAAACCAACTCAATTCCACTTCTTTCATTCGCATCCCGCCCCCCGCCCCCCGCCCCCTCTGAACCCACCATTATTCGTAAAAACCACTCATCAGTATACTGTCGTGCTAAGAAAAAACGCCGTGTAAAACCCTGGATGTTGCCAAATTCACTCCTTTGAAACATTTATTTTTTAAGTAATCCACGAATATTTTTCGTTGAAATTTTCAGATACAGTAGATTAAATTGCGAATTACTTACTGTGAAAAATTGGAGAAAGAGGATACTTACAAGCTCTCTTAAAAATGCGTGTTTATCGGAGGAATATTGGCAACGTCTGAAGACTCATACGTCTTTTTCCCCTTAGCATGACAGAATGTAAGGTCTTTATTTGCGTTAAGCGGCGCCTGAGCTCAGCACGGATGCCGCCGTTAATGCACTCGTATGCTCGCACGACCGTAAATTCATACGAGCGCCATCGTGTTGAGCAAAACAACGTAACTGTAAGAAAACTCCAGCGTAAAAGCGTGTTTTTCGCCTTGGGCAGGAGCGCGAAAGCGCACGGTATCTTAATAAAACGACGAAAGATTTACGAGGCATTTGGCCCAAAGGACGGGCGATGAATACCGTTGGCCAATAGTGAATTACAGCTTTTGAGTCCGTGCGCTCTATGCAGTTATGTTTTTTCTCATTTTTTTGTTCAGCCACGACCGAAGGATGAAATAGGGACTGTTATAACAGAGAAATTTGGTTCGGAGTTATTTATGGGGCGGAAGCGAGAGAATTCAGGAATATTTGCATGCGCAGTATTATTTTCGGGGATGTGTGTGACCCGTGCCTTGCACAAAAGGACCGAGATATTTTGGAAACGATTCTTACGAGGATTCTTACTTATTCAATACTTATTTCGTCGTTCCCTCCACGAAAGAACGCAACTACATTTCAATGATGCCAAACCCTTCGCAAATTGCATTTTCTCCGGATGAGTCTTTGGTATTTTCGACTAAAAATTTAACGGATATTTTCTAATTTCAAGCAAAAATCAGAAAAATTGTGGACATAAATTGCACAGATCTGTACATTCTTGTGAAAAATTCAAAATTTTCAGCTAATTTCGCAACCTTAGAATCGAGTTGCGTGCCTTCGCACGGGAAACGAAAACATTCTTAGGAAGATTCGTTGTTAATTAATAATAACTTAGTTTGTTATTTTTGCTTTACTTCACTCCCAAGAAAATTTAAAACATAACAGAAAAAATGTGACTGGTTGTGGCGGGACCCTAATTTTTGAGGCCCAACCACAATTTATCGAAAATAATGGTCATTTCTAATCTATTGGGGCAGAATCTCAATCTGAGTTTTGGCTGGATTGAAAAGCGTTGTGGTTGGATGGCAACACGTTGTGTTTGAGTCCCAATTAATTAACGTTCAGCCAAAATATTTGGAATAGTCAAAATTCACACCAGCTAGTCCTTGACCACTTATTATCAACGGAGACAGTCACACAATTCTGAAAAATGTATGAATTTCTACTTCGATAATATGTCGAGTTTTTGGTTTTTTATCAGCGGACGTTCTTACTTTTCCTGATCGGCGTTGCACTGGGCACGGTGGTGGACAAGCCTTTCCTAGAATCAATTCGAATCATGGGTGTGCTTCAAAGAATTGCGATTTGTTATTTCGTTGTTGCTTTCTTCGCCACAATCCTGTACTTCAACGTAAACTTCAAGGTACGTATGTTGCAATTTACCGGGAATTCAATTAATATTTAAAAAGAAAAGACATTGAATTTTTGCTCGCAATTAAAGGCTCAGATGATAAACTCTGAGGATATTTCTCCATCGAAACAAATTCGTTTTTCATTTCAAACTTCCCATACCATGAAATCATAATGCATCAAATGCGTAAGACATCCGTTCTTCCAAAAGTCTGCAATTGCATAATCGCCAATTTGAGGGAAGAGTAGGGGTCTCTTTCGTATTACTACTCGTTTTACGTGATAACGTTTAACAAATGCACTCTTGGATTATGGGGAATAATTACAATTTAGAAATAATTTGTTGGCCCTCTCCAGTGGAGTTTGAAAAAAAAAATAATGTTTTACCAAATTCACACTGAAAACTTTGCGACCTGTACATTTGCTGTCATATTAGAATGTTAACATCGTGCCAACAAAATAAAAACTCATTAAAATACAAAAACAAATGGGTTTATGGAGAAATAATTGTGTCTCATCTCTCTCTCATCACAACGCGCCAACGCTAAACTACAAAGTATGAAGTGAAACAAACTCCTCAGAAAATATTGAACGATTTTCTTCTTCTTTCGTTAGTTTATTTGTTCATTTTTTAAATAATTTTGATTCCCAATTTGTTCAATGGTACTCGATATGCATCTCTTAAAATTCATTTAGCGCACGTGATACAACTATTTCGACTCTCATGTAGTCAAAATTACATACCCATTGAATTGAAGGAAAACTCGATTTGAACATCCGCAGTTCCATTCAACTGGACTCAACCACTATCTGCTGTGTACGCGTGTGTCCTTGTGTCCTTCAGAAACGAGGTGGAAATAAATCCTCCAAATGGATGAACGTACGAAATTCCATCTTCATCGTGTAAAATTTGTAATTATAGACGCTGAAAGTGTCGAGGAGAAAGTGAAAGTCAGATGAGTGTGATTGAGCTTTAATATAATATTCACCGCCTTTAGGAAAAGAAGAGGTCACAACTTGGCACTAACGGCGAGGATCTGAATGGGATAAATTATCTATACCGAGATTTGAGTTTTCTTTTCTTTTACGTCTAATTACACTCAACGAAAGGGCTCAAGTTTTCCATTGCGAAAGCCACAAACCCTTGCGACCAATTTCTTGGATTCAATCTTGAGCCGGTGTCTCCAAACAAAAAGGTCAAGAAGCTATTCATGAAACGAAAATTTAAAATATCACAGTTAAAAAATCTAAACATCACAGGGAGCTACTTTCAACGAGGGGATACTACTCTTCCTTCGCATTCGTATGACTCTTCTCAAGTCGATGAACTGGGGCTCAACCATTGTCTTTCCCTCTTTTCGATGAACCGTTGGCAAAAAAGAAGAGGTTACAATCTCAAGTGTCCTCTGACTACATCTTCGGTCCCTCTAGCTTGAAACAGTAATTCGTTTTGAATGAATTCCCAGTTCCACGATTTTCCTCTTGAGATGTCTGACTTGGAGAGAGAGATTATAATTAGATACTTGAGGTCAACAATTTAGTTCCCCAGTTTTTTCTGATAATAGAACGGACTTATTTTCGTATGCCTGTGTTCAAGATTTCTTTCGTAAATATTCCTGAAATTAGAGTGCTTTATGGTGAAAGTATGGGCATTGCTAGCTATCCTAGGCTGCGCGGAGCTTGTAAGGTGACAGAAAAAAATGGCGGACATCGCACGCAGGCCATCCAAAATGACAAGAATTTTGTATTTCCTTTGGAATATACATTTAAAAGGAGACTTTATTTGATTGAATCACTGTGAAATTTACTCAAATTACATAGTTAGGCGTATTTATATAGTTTTGAAACCAATTATGTGATTGCGTTTGAAATATACTTTTCAACCTAGACCTTTACTACGGTGAAGTTGGCAACTGTACATCAAGTGATAACTGACAAAGTTTGGCAACAACTTTCTTCCATCCAAAGCCTCCGCCATTTTTCTAGTACCTATGGGTTTCCATGCGACCCAGTGGGCTAGCTCTATAAAGGCACTCTAATTCTGCTTATCAAAGTATCTGCAAGAAAGGCACAAAACAAAAAGCATCAGAGGTCCTTATTCGCGAGCCTTTTAAGGCTACATGAAGCGAATGAATATTTCCCAAAAATCCCGACAGCGCATTAACCGCCTCACAGACGAAATGGTAGAAGGGGGGGGAGGTGAGAGCTGAGGCTCCAAAATTTCAGCTCAAATCCCAAGGGTCCAATTAGAGGGAGTTCTGTTACGTTGCAGGCCTGAGCTCACTCGAGAGAGGAGCAGCATCTTATACCACCGAAATTTGATACCCGGCAAGCATTTTCAGCATCTTTCGGTTCGTTAACGGCCCAATCAAGGCGCACACAGAACACAGATCCCTTTTCGGAGATGCAGCGTTTTCTACCTTCCCGCCCCCCTTGAGTGACGTATTAGGCCCCTGTTGACAACAAATTGAGTCGGTGATACATCGGAACCGATGCGTCGAGTGTCAGATTTGAAATAATGCTTTGAGAGCATCATATTTTTTGGACTGAGTTTTTTTTTTTTCATCCACATAAGAATGGAGCTCAATCTCTCATCAATTTACTTTTCTTCCCCCAAAGAAAAAATGCTCCGCCCTTTGGTACGGAAACTACGATAGGCTCTCTGCGTGGGGGTATAAGCTAATTTTTCTCGAGTTGTCTCAAAGTTTTGAGAGTGATCTTTCAATTTATCGGGCGGACATTAGTCAACTTCACTTCGTCTTAGGCGAAGGAAGGTTCTTGTAACGTCGGCAGAGTTTTGACCAACGGGTGAAGCACCATTGCGAGGACAAATAACTAGTATTCAAGGTGTGAGATGCAAAAATGGCACTTCTAGGTTGCAGCGTTTCAGAATATCCCCTGCTCCTTCATTATGAGAGAGAAAAATGATGCATTTTCTGTAATTTTTGTTCAGTACACTGTAAAACTACAAAGAACATTCCGTGAAAGTAACGAATTAGATACATTTGCTTTGATCATAATGGACAGACATTCATGAAGATTCTTAGACAACACTGGAAAAAAAAACACATTGGATCTAGAGTCCAGACTCTTGAAAACATCGACAAGAAAAAATACTCTTGATTCAATCGGATTTTTGCTTAGATCAAGAACCAAGCCTCTTAATTTGAGCGGATTTCCTTTTGATTTAAGCTTGGATCTGATTGAATCAAGAGTCCTTTTTCTTGTTAATGTTTTCATGAGTCTGCACTCTAGATCCAATGTGTTCTTTTTTCCAGTGAATGAAACAGCAAAACGCATGCCACTTCTGCACCCCGCGCTTTAATCGTAATATTTAGTTTCATTGGCTTCGTCCAATTAACGCACTTGGCTTTTTATTAGGTTGGAAAGTTAAAAATCTTTGGTTAATTCGATCGGGGCTCATCAGTACGGAGTTGGTTCACTATCGCTACCAGATGAAAAAAAGCTTCAAGATTGTTTTCAAAGTCTTTCAGCAATGAACATCCTCATTTTTATTTTCTTGCAGAATAAATTCCTTGTCGCCCTCAAGGACCTTATCATTCCGTTGCCGCAATGGGTTTTCCACGGTGCAATCGTTGCTTTCCACACTTGGGTTGTCTTCACAATCGCCGCCCCCGGATGTCCCAAGTAAGTCCCCATAAAAATGGTTTTTACACGGATAAAAAAAACCTCGTGCGTGGGACCCAAAGTTTAGGTCTTATGGATCTCTGAAGTTTTCAGATTGAGCATCTGAACACTTAAGGTCAAGCTGCTGAGGTTTGGATCACACATCTGAAACTTCAGTTCTTACGTCTGCAGTACATCGGTTTTCACATCCGAAGAACTTCGGTTCTCACATCCGAAAAACTTCGGTGCTCACATCTGAAGTACTTCAGATGTAAGAACTGAAGTTTCAGATGTGTGATCCAACCTCAGCAGCTGGACCTTAAGTGTTCAAATGCTCAATCCGAAAACTTCAGAGATCCATACGACCTAAACTTCGGGCCCCCCGCAGGAAGTTTTTTTCTCCGTGTAAATAGCACAATAATTTGTCTGTAATCGGGTGATAATCAGCTCTTTCAAGCCGAGGCCAAAATGGAGGTAGCAAGTTCTGATTTGGTAGAATTCATTTTTATCTTCACACTTCCAAAAAATTTCGTAATTGGATGGAAATGCTAATTAATAATGAGCATACTCAAATTGACCGAATGGACTGCGTTTAGCAGAAAGGAACCAGGCTACATCCGATAATGCCAACAACTGGGCGATGTAATTTTTTATAAGTCAACGTTTGTGTGCATTTCTTTCGAAATTTTAAGGAATTTGATTGAATTGACTATACAGAAAATTCACTGAAATTTGCTCAACAATCCGCACAGCCGTTTTCATGTAACAAATTCATTGCCCATTTAAATTTGGCATTTTTTATATGGTTTGGTTCTTATCTGCTTAGCACGGTCTAAATAATGATGCTAGTCAGAACATTTCTGTAAAACTATTTTTTGGTATTTAAGGCATAAATTGTTAGACCCTAGAATAACTACATTCGTTACCTATACAAAATGCGAGTTTTTTATGTCTCCGATAAAACTAATAATGTCGCAAATCCATGGTGAAACTACCAACCCACGTATCTTGATTTGCAACGTCACAAACTTCCTGTTATACTTCATTTATTAGATAAAGAATTACCTAACGTCAATTATTGAAAATCAGGGTGGCATGAAACGTAAGAAAGAAATGAACGATTGGAAATTTCATGCAGTGAAATATTTCATGAAATTTCACGAGGCTGTAAAATATTTCATATCTTTCAGGAGCTAGAGTAAGGACTCAAACACGCAAAAATAGAAGAAAGTCGCAATTTTTACATTGTGCGAAACGTATGTAAAGGAACCGATATTTTTCAATAGCTTTTAAAAATGTCTGAAATTTTATGAAATTTTTCACGTGAAATGTCAAGATTTTGTTTCTCATGAAAATTTGCCACCCTGTTGAAAACTTAAAATATTCCATGAAAACTTAAAGGATTGGTATCAATTAATTCGCTCTCTCTCTCTCTCTCAAAAAAAAAAAAAAAAAAAAAAAAAAAAACGAGATGGGAAAGACTACAAACGAGATATGTTGTCTAATAGTTTCACCGCCGAAATGCAATATTTTGAAGCGGCAACAAAGTTTGGAGGGACTCAAAAAACGGGTCTGCCTCGAGCGGAAGGTTTGAGCGGAAACCGGAGTCTGGAGTCTGGGGCCTCGGCGGCCGTTGACGTCCCAAATTGCAATTTCCGATTAGATCTTCCGCCCCCGCAATGCCACCGCCGTCGTCGCGTCGTTCACCTCCAACCGAAAACAATCAACCCCCGCCTCTACGCCCCCATTCCCGCGCGTTGTTACTCCCAAAGACACTTCACGCACTGCAAATATACGATTTATAGTCGTGTAGTGACAATTCTTACAAGTTGGCAACACCGGTTTTCCTCTGCAGCCTGCCTCAAAATATAGGTATTTCTACAGGTCTGGATACACTCCCAAATCTGCGTCAATAGTCTATCAAAATTATGTCAAAAATGGCGGTCGAGAGTTATCTAGATGGATGGGTGTAATTAATTAAAACAAAGTGTTGGTTGAAATAAGCATGTAATAAGCACGAAATAAGCACGGTTGTGTGGAAATTAGAAGACGGATGAGACCCATAGTTCCATCATCTACCATCAAATTTTTACAGGCCACGAAAAATTGATGGTAGATGGTGCGCACTAGTCACCATTTGAGCGGAAATTGATGGGAATTTGAGCGTGTATCCAGGCCTTATTGGCCTTATATAATTGGAGGAAAAACAGTACTGCCAACTTGCAAAATTGCCACTGTAGTCGTGGCGCCAGCCAAGATTCTAAATAATTTTGGATAGGATCCAAACCAAAGACAATGTAGGGTGTCTTAAAACTAAGCGCTAAGCCAACAGAGCCGACCGTACTGTGTTTGGCGCAATGCGTGAAGTATTCAGGCGCTAATATGGAAGTCGCACGGACCGAGCCGACCCAGCCGATCGTACCGGGTTTTGCGCAATGCGTGAAGTATTCACTCAGTCTTGTAGGCGCTATTATGGATTCCACGCCCACCGCACAATGTTTGGCGCTCTAATTCAAACTGGCAGAGTTACGCAGTTTTAATCTTGCTTGGTTATTTGTGCTGATGTGCAAAGGCCAAAACCCCATCACATGGGAAAAAATCGATAGTTAAAAAAATAAAAAGAACTTGTTACTAAGATGTTGCGATGGAGTTTTGCGCACACTGAATGGATTATTATCATTTAAAACGTGCTATGTATAATCCAACTAATTTTCTTCTCTTGGTTTACATATCGACGGTGTAAGTCGGCAATCACATAACTCGGTTTGCGACGTCGCAGACTTTCTGTCATACTTTATCTTTTAAACGGAAAACTACTTAACGGCAATTCTTTAAAACTACCGTTATTTTTTTTCTCTGCGCGAAGAAAATTCTGCGCAAACTTAAAGAAATGTATCAATTTGTTCTCATTGAAAAAAATGAATGAGAAGCTATTGGATTATTTTGGATAAATTAAAACGCTAGATTATTTTTGATAGGATCCAAACCAATGACAATGTAGGGTGTCTTAAAATTAAGCGCTAAGCGAACAGAGCCGAGCGTACTGCGTTCCGTGCAATTCACACGGTCATTTAATCTCTTACACGCGAAAACGGTTGTATGGATTTTGTGCAAATTGCCCGATTAAAGTTGGCAATAGCTGATGCGGCTTGGTTCCTTTCTGCTATTCGCGGTTCAACTAAGGTCCTTTTGCCGTGAACGGAGACATGCCGCTCTCCCCGGGAACAACAACATGCACAATGTTTACTATGACCGCCAACTCCTGGAGGCGGGGGACGAACCAATCCGTGTGGTCGCGCGCCCCCGCCTAAACGATCGACCTATTTCGACCACCGCCTAACATCATCACTTCCCCAAAGCACCCAAAGCGCATTCGGGGTGGAAAGACGGGGCATTTCAATCCAACCGACGATTCTATTATGCAAACGAAAAACGTCTTGAGAACGTTCAAAAGTTGCCAGATTTTTTCTGATAAAGTGTAAATGTTCTGAAAAACTTAAGGTACTTAATATCTCATACAATTGTATTCGCACTGTAAAAAAAAAAAAAAAAAAAAAAAAAAAAAAAAAAAAAAAAGGCAGTGCACTGGAAAAAAAAAAACGCATTGGATCTAGAGTCCTTACTCTTGAAAACATTGACAAGAAAAGGGACTCTTGATTCAATCGGATTTTTGCTTGAAAAAAACGAAATCCGCCTAAATTAAGAGGCTTGGTTCTTGATTTAAGCTGGATTCTGAATGAATCAAGAGTACTTTTTCTTGTCGATGTTTTTAAGAGTCTGGACTCCGGATCCTATGTGTTTTTTTTCCAGTGCAGAATTTAAAATTGTAAACGGCGAATTGAACAAAATTAGGCCAGAGCAACGTGGATTTTTGAAAAATGTATCTCTTCGCGAAGTTTTACTAATCTGTGTATTTCTTGAAATCTGTTTAACCTTTCTGATGTATTTTTTTAGAGGGTACATGGGTCCTGGTGGCATTCAAAACAATGGGATTTACAAGAACTGCACTGGAGGAATATCCGGTCACATCGATAGGACGATCCTAGGAGTTGAGCACACGAGAATCTTCCCATGGTCTGGAGTGGTCAACGTCTACAAGGGTCTACCTTTGGAGTCAGAGGGAGTCTTCAGTAAGTATGAGTAACTAATGACTGCATGGCAGTGGTTAATTCAACAGGTTGATCACGCTCCAGCTTCCGATGGAATCGGACTCTACAATATAAAATCATTAGAGTAACACGTAACGCATTTTTCTTTGACTCGTTGAGTGAATGAGACATTTCATGTACACATCTTATTGGCAAACTTGACTACACTTTAAAAAAAAACAGATACAAAATACCTATGGATTTTTTCTCATATCACAATTTCGCCTTTTTCGCGGTAGGCCAGAAAACACCCCTATGCAGCCGTAGTAATTCATTTGAGTATTGGTGTATCAAGCTATCCAAAATTTTCTTGCCTCATACTTTGTGGTTAATTATTTTCAATTCACTCAGTTATCTTGATACCATCTCTACTTGTCTATTCTGCAAGTTTCAGCGATTGATCCTAAATATGTACAGTGAAAATTATAATTCCACTCAATTTTTTGGAGGAAGTGTCACCTTAACGTCCACGCGGAAGACACCAATAATCAAGGTAGGGTCCAGGAATAGCTCCGAGAGAATATCAGTACGAGCATCAATCTCTATTCGCGGAAGAGAATAGAAATAGAGCCAAGATAAATAAAAGCAAATAAGTTCAAACAAAGAGGAAACTCGGAGAGAAGTACAAGTTACACTTCCGGCTCTCGGGGAAACGTGGGTTTACTCGGAACTCGCAACAGGACGAATCCGAATATATTTAGTGAGAACGCTATTCTAAAAAACGAAGAAACCCTAGCGAAGTCCTTCGTATTTTATTCGCGATTCCATTTATAGATTCGAATGAGCGTAATGAACAATTAGCACTATCGAGGCGAGTTAGGTGCATGAATGGGAGCCGGATCCATTCACCGGCTAAATCTGGGAACCATTCGGGTACCCCATAACGACCGACGGGAATTCTAATTAAAAGCGGGAATTGAAACTATAACGAAGTTCATAATTTTGACAAGGCACTCAACCCCCCCCCTCCCCCCCACCAGGCACCGCTTCCGGGCGCCGCGTGACCGATTTCAATATTCTTTTATTGCCGAAACTTCGCGAGTCCCGTTCGATTATTCCCGCCAACATCTGCTCGGTAGCGAATGACTCGTCCGGATTCTGCCGATCTGTAAAAGTTGCTCCCGTTTTTTCCTGAGCTGCAAATTAAACTAACAGAGCATTCTCGAGAAATCGGTGGCGGATTCGCATCGTGAATTCTCTGGAGATCCCGGTTTCTTGTGAATTTACGAGCGAGAGAGCTTTCGAGTTTTTAACCTGACCCGCGCTTCAGTAAAGGGACTGAGTATTAGCCCAGTTTTGGTCACTCTTAATTGGATTGAATTAACCCTAATCTATCTGACCTGAGTCTTTTAAACTCAAGTCGCAGCTTTCAAATAAGACGTATTAATTCTGAAAGGAACTATGTTGCTCGCAAACTCTCTATGCATATGGTCCTTCAATGAAAAAAATGGTATTCTGTTTTAGCACGTAGGATGTCAAAAATGTGTCTGGTGATCCTAACATGCTCCCTTGATTGCCCACGCAGTTGAACTTGCATTCACAGGATGTAAAGTTAACTGTGGGGGCAGTAAAGGGAGCATCTTGGGATCATCAGACCCTTTTTCGACATCCTACATGCTAAAAAAGCATATTAATTTTTTCAGTGTTATTCAACATCAATATGTGCAATTAACAGACACATAAGAAGAAAAGAAGAAATATAAATAAATAATTCCGTTTCCCGTGTTTTTCTTCCACTCCTTCTTCCTTCCTCCACTCTTGTCTTATATTTTTTCCATGTTTCTATTTTTAAGGTCGTAAAAATTAGTATGCTCTATGTATGCTCTATATATGAATGGCGATATTCATTTACTGATTCATTCATGAGAAAGTTAGGTATTCATCTGGTTTTATGATGTGAACCTGACTGGATCTCAGATTCTCCTTGGTATTTTGATTCAACAATCATAGAAATAGGTCGTGATGAGGTTCTTCATCTTTCTAATATATTTATTTTGTTTTCATAAGTAATTTTAAGTTAATGAAACAAACTTACGACATTGTTAGTTTGATAAGTTCGCTGCGGCTGAAAACATTTCCCTCGAGGATTCATAATAAGAAAGCGTTGTTGCCTTCTTCTTAGTTTCCGAATGTTTTTCCTCTCGTTCTTCTCCTCAGTTTCCCTTCTATTTTTATCATTTTTAAACATCAAAAAAGAGTTACGTTAACGACAGAAAAAAACTTAAAATAATAGTAATATTCCTGGTAAACTTGGTATTCTCACTCCAAGCAAACAGAAAACTGGCAAAATTATTTCAGTATCAGTGATTGTCCATAGAAGAAGAGCACTAGCACTTATTCTACAAAAACTAAAGAATGAACATTTAGTACCAAAGCCTAAAGAAGTGCTTATTACACACATTATTGGACAAAGAGCGTTCAAACACGCCAAGTTAAATCAGGAATGTGGAAATTTAAAGTTCGCCGTTGAAAAAACAGTTTTAAGAAAAATGTCCGCGTTTGAGGGCAGGAAATCACCTGATTATATTGCTTCTTTACTCTCTCCGTTGGCACGTATACTGATCGCAAAGTATTTTTCAGTCAATAGGTCCCGGGTTCGAATCCCGGTAGTGGCGTCTAATTTTCACGGAATTGACGAGTAGATCTGCTGAAACAGATTCTCTTCGGCCCTTATCCCTGAAAATTGGAAAACCCTGGAGCATGGAGATCCGACGATGTCTACGGACACTTAACATTGTCTAAAGTTGGCTGAAGGTGCTAGACACGAAGCCATTAAACCAGAAGGAAAAAAATAGTATTTTTTACAACACTGCACTGGAAAAAAAACTCATTGGATCTAGTGTCCAGACTCTTGAAAACATTGACAAGAAAAAGGACTCTTGATTCAATCAGATTTAAGCTTAAATCAAAAGGAAATCCGCTCAAATTAAGAGGCTTGGTTCTTGATTTAAGCTTAAATCTGATTGAATCAAGAGTATTTTTTCTTGTCGATGTTTTTAAGAGTCTGGACTCTAGATCTAATGTGTTTTTTTCTCAGTGTGCGACTGAGATAAAAATCCACCGGAAATCCAATTTTACGATCCAACTCGATAAAAATAACTTCACTGAAAATCCCTCGGTGAGCATAGGATCCTTACTCCTTTAGGAAGTATATTCCTAAAGTTTTAAAGCCATATCGGGGAAAAGTCAAGCCAAGTGGCAAGCTCCAGCAGCCGATCGGAGTAGAGTTACTCAACCAAGCGAGCGAGTTCGTCAAATACGAATTAGACGCTGCGCCGCACTCTTGCGGCAAGTTGACCTGCAAAGCCACCACTATTGCATGCTGCCTCGTTGAAGGCGCAGAGAACCTCTTCACTTGACTGCGCTTGAAGTTACTCGGCTTCATGTTGCTTCATACCAGTCTTAGTTCTGAGTGATGCTTGGTAGCGTTACACTTTATACTGAAGAAAAATATCGCCGTCTTAAAGGGTAAGAAAATAAGAAGAGAGAAAACATATAAAAACTTGCAAAAATCACTGTAAACTTTGATATTTATACAGATAATTATTCGAATTAGAGTGCCCTAATAATGACGCAAGTAACCCCACTAGTTAAGACGACTTGCTGCTTTTTAAATTCATAACAAATAGTCTTGCAACATTACACAATTTTTTTCAATGTTTTTATTGGCTGAAAACGAAGTATCCTGTTGGTATAACTTCTCGGAGAATTATCGCGCGAGGGTAATCCAGAATTGAATATCACACTCGGAGAAAAATAGTATAGGAGTTATCCCCTAAAATTGCGGTAATCCAATTTGTTGGATGATATGGACATTTCCAATTCATTGCGCTGGTGCCGCAACATTAGGGGTAGTATCGGTACTACCACAATTAATTGGATTACCTTTACAATTGATCGGAAATGTCCATATCATCCAACAGATAGGACTTAACCCTTACCTCTTCTTCCCCTGAGTAACATACGCATCCAAGCAAATTACGAGTAAAGCAGATGTGAAATTTCTACATTTCCGATTTCATTCGTATCAATGAACCTCATTTTCAATTTTCAGGTTCTCTCCTGGCAATATTCCAGACTTTCTTGGGAGCTCAAGCTGGCTACATTCTGTTGCATCAAAAATCGGTAGCAGCTCAAGTAAAACGATGGTTCCTGTGGGGTTTCACTTGCGGTTTGGTCGGAATCGGGTTGAACTACCCTTGGAGTAACCCTCTTATTCCAATAGTGAAGGATCTCTGGTGAGTTTGGATTCATGGCCTTTAGTTAACTCCTCGATGTGAAAAATTAATTCGATTTTGTCACCCTGTTGCGGGAAAGGTACTTAATGAGTGTTTGAACGTTGAGAAAATTCCTTTGATGAATTATTTATTTTCTACATAACTGCTAACGTGATCTCTGGACACTCCCTCTTAAAATATTGAAAAAAAAAATCTTGAAAAAAGAAGAGCAGAATAATCAAAGGGAATACACCATTTATTCACTGTGATATTGCTCATTCTCACACTGGAAAAAAAAAACACATTGGATCTAAAGTCCAGTTTCTTGAAAACATTGACAAGAAAATATACTCTTGATTCAATCGAATTTTTGCTTGAATCAAAACGAAATCCGCTTAAATTAAGATGCTTGGTTCTTGATTTAAGCTAGATTCTGATCGAATCAAGAGTACTTTTTCGTGTGGATGTTTTTAAGAGTCTGGACTCTAGATCCAATGTGTTTTTTTTCCAGTGCAACCTCAACATTTGCTTCAAAATAAATATCTTTTCCACCAATTTTGCATCGCGGTATGCGGTTTGGATCACTGTTCGCCTTCATATAGGCGATGAAACAAAAACTGTTCCTACGTGTCAAAATAGCTGCCTATCCATTCAAAATGAAGGCGAATCACGTTTTTAATTTGCACAGGATGACTTCTCAGTGGCAATTCTGGCAAGTTGGCAATGCCTCATTTCCTCCATTTTAGCCCATTACTATCGATAGAATTCTGCAGGCTTATTGATAAAATTGGTATACAAAACTATAGGCAAAGAAAACAAAAGAGCAAAATAGCACGAATCTGTTAGTTGAAACGTGTGGTTGTTATAGACCGAGTGAAGAATGATAAAATAAGGTGAGCATTGGGTGAGAAATAAGGTAGGTGTGAGGGTTGCAGCTTTTATTTAGTCTATTACTTGCCCTCTGTGTCTATTGCAACCACTTGCTTCCACCAAAAGAATTGCTCAATTATCTCTTTACCTTCTTCGACATAGCTTTGTCGATCAATTCCAATAATTAGCCTGCGGGTGAGGTAGCCTAATAAGTTTTTTTACGGACTATTTAGTTCTTATTCAAATGGATAGAACTTTAAGAACTGTAAAAACCTTCACATTTTTGAAACCACGGAATTCACTAGCCTATTTAAATTTCCAATTATTTCAAGAAAGTTCGGCCAGATATTTAAAATTGTTGTTGAGCCCAGTAATAACGTACGCACTCCTTGTAGTTTTTCATTATATTCCTTGTAAGTTGTGACTGTTTCTTTAAGATTTTTGCATCTTGAAGGTAATTTATTGGCGTGTCTCTTTATAATGGAACGATCCTCATCATTTGTTTTTGCAGGACTATGTCATTCGTTCTGATCACTTCCTCGCTGGCCTTTTTCTTCCTGGGGATTTTGGCCATTATCTGTGACCACAGTCGTATATGGTCTGGCGCTCCATTCAGCTTTACCGGTATGTTTTGCTTGACTCAGTCATTTTGCGGTAACTTATTCAGTTTTTATCGAGAAATGTTTTTCGGAAATTTTTTCAGAGAGTCGAATCGGGTTTCGATAAGGTTTATATTCCGGTGTTGCGAATTGATTCATACTTTGATCTTTAACAGTATAATAATCAATCCTACCCTCAAGTTATGTCATTTATAGTTAACGTGAATAATCATTTAAAATACTTTGCAAATCCGAAAGTCCATTGCGCGTTCACCTAGAAAATATTTCCAAAAAATATATATCCAAAAAGCTAAGACCGATATTCATTTTTACATGTATCGAAGCGAAAGTATGAATAAAGTTTAATATTTTCTAATTATTTCCCTAAAAAATTTAGAAGCTCGTTCTGTGAAAATGAAAAATTATTGTATAATTGGGATAAAGCTAATCATGAACTTTTTTAGACGTTTATTTTTCTATCACACTCTTCACACCCTCCATCGCAATGAGACAATACTTTTGCGTGGGGATCATCAAATTACAAAATGATTTTCTTAAAATAGGTGATTAACTCTCACCCGTACAATTCCAAGAAACCATTATTTTTTAACTTTAAATATATTGAAAAATGTATGAGGGTGATTTCACGATAACAGGAATAGTTAAAATGTGAAATACCTTAGAAATAAAAGTGCACCAATTTTAACAGGATTTCATTACCTCATTTTAAAGGTATTAAACTTCCTTTTCCCAGCTTTGGCACGCTCTATTTTGATTCAGTGCAAAGTTAAAGTGATTGATAAACAAGCCATTGAATCAGGTATCAGCGCTTCCCGCGGGACTGCTGGAGGTCCACGCAAACATGGCGGCCCTGCCAAATTGTGTCGGTTACGTAACAGACACAGCGTAACCGACACTCAAAAATGTGAGATTAAAGATGATACAACAGATGAAACTTGGCAATTCTTGAGTTATGAGGTGGAATTAATGCTGCCTTAAAAGTTTTCTAAACTTTGGAGACTTCCTTTTAGTTTAATACTATTAAATTGAGGTTTTTGCGTAGTGAGGAATTAGTGCTACACACGTAAAAATCACTGGTTTTCATAATAATTAAAGTTTTCATTGTAAAAAAAACTGACTTATTAGTAATAGTTTTGTCAGGAAGACTTCAGCAAACAATTTGATGGCACTTTTGAAACTCCTGACTCCATCTGGCGAGATAAACACTGCACTTTATACAACTGCAAACATTTGTTGCCAAATGTGGCGACGCCTCTTTCTTACGACTTTTCTCGCTCAATAATAAACATTTCAGTTCAAACTGGCAATTTTCTTGAACACTAGAGTCTCTTTTCAGCAAATATTGCCACAGAGTTCATGATCAGTACTGATTTGTTACCGCAAATTGCTCTTTTGCTTCAAAATCGGGGTTGGCGACGCGTAACCGACCGGACATTTTCGGCCTTTTAAGTCTCATATTATTAAATATAATAATAATTCATCATATTTTTTAGCATCGATAGGTTCAGGGACATCATTCCTATTGATTAATTAATTTGGTTTTCAATCGTTTTGCCCTATGTCGTTCAAAACCCACGGCGACACGACTATTCCTATTATCGTGAAATCACCCATGACTATACCAGAAGTATGGTAGACCGATTTTTGACACGTTGATACTGCAGTGTAAAAACAACCAAGTACAATATTTGCTCATTGAGTCCGCTATGATTACCATGCTTACATCACTATTACTCGATTGGGCTTTTTTCGGTGTAGATTTGAAATTGATTCTTCCTAATTTTAATAAATTCCTAAATTTTTACATTTTCCTATTTTTCTAGGTAAAAATTCCACATTCCTGTACATCGGGCACTTTTTGTGCTATCAGATGTTCCCATGGCACTGGATATGGGGGAAGATGAACACGCATACCATTCAGCTCGCCGAAAACTTGTGGGGTCTTTCTCTCTGGATTCTTTTCGCATACTATCTCCATCGCAAGAAATTCTACTTAACTTTGTAATCAAGCCCATTTCATATAACCTCATCATCCATTTCCCATCATGAATTTTATCAAAAAGGCAGATCATGTTTACTTTGTTTAACATCCCTTGCCGCAAGACTGGATAACTTCACTTTTGTGGAACACCTCTTATCATGTCGGCACAGAATGTCAACCAAAATATTTTTGGTACACTAATATTTTAGCATTCAAGACCTATTTAGTGCCTCTATTATTGCACAAAGTTGTGTTCAGTTCATGCCGGAGAAGAGTAATTTTCTCTTTTATTCAGCTGTGTGAACAATAAATCTATATGTCTCTGTAGTACATAGAAATTCATTCAACTGTGTGAACGTTCAATGAGTTTTTGAGTTCTGTGATCTGAAAAAAGAACGTAATTTTTTTAATCATATCATTACATTTTGTACATGTTAGTTTGTAAGTAGGTATTTAAGTATTGTTTTCCTTGAATTAATGCATCACTTATGCAAGCAAGAAATAGAAAGGTTTCACTCCTTCAGTTACCTGATACAAAATACTATAAATTTATGGAGCAAAATTTGGATATAAATAAAAATTAAAAATCAATATCAAAAGTTACAGAAGTTATTTTCTCAGATATCGATATATTACATTCCTCGATTCATTTGCTCACTTTCTCTGTAACTAACGTGTTTCATGTAAAATAATCCGGTCATATTGATAAAAAGTAGAGGCTTTTAAAGACCTTTTTTATGAAAGGTTTCAAATTAGTACTAGGATTTCGTGTTATGTTTATAATTACAAAATCACTTTCAATGGTCTCAGAAAATAAAGACAATTTATTTCATTTTTCCACGTCGAAAAATGTTTCGTCCGTTCAAACATTCATGCTTTACTTCATCACATAGTTTCCATGTTATTTATTTTTAAATACATATTTTTATTTGTAAATAACAACGTGTGTTTTTTTATTATCTTCTATCCATCAATCCACCTAAAATCATTTAATGAAGAAAAATGCAAACCAAATAACCTAGCTCTGTGACTTCATTCGTACTTGAACAGTTTTTAAGAAATGTCTCCATGTGACGTCATACATTGATATTGTTACAATATGTACCAAGTTTTTGGGTTCTGAAATTTGAAAATGTCCTGTCATATTTTATTCTTTCGGAAGATGGCTGATCAACTTAAATATGTGGATTTCTTGAAGCATCTCAGAATGTTCTGTGAAATTTTCATTTGTGGGCGTCAAAATGATATCTCTTAAAGGCAAATTAGTAAAATAGTTTTGAAAATTTTGAAAAACTGTCATCAAGATACTTTATCCTCTTCGACGAATACACCAATTCTATTAAATTTTTAAATAATCTAACATCCCAGATACACACACAGACATATTTTGTAACGATTCTGGAATGCCGATTTTACCCTACCTGATTCTGTTACTTCATATCTAGGATTCTTAAACTTACATGCTTGGACACGAAGTTATTATCAGATGATCATCATTTTTGCACCCTGAGTGGTTGCCTCCACTACGGCTAGGAGACCAATCTGCCCTCTCAATGGTTTGTTCATATCCCTGAAAGGCAGTGACCATCTCGAAAAACCCCCTTTGAGGCAGGGGCAACCAGCTGGGATCCACAGGATTGCCAAACCTGTGATGGTACACCCAGTTTCCCTTCACACGAAACCCAATCAAGTATCTTTTTTGGCGTACCTCCTTTTGTCATCTTGTAAGCATGACCACATCACGTTAATTGTCGGTAACGATGTCGAATACGATATCATTTTCGACTTTTGTGATCCGATTTGCTCTACCGGTACAGGTGCATCACATCCGACCCCCATTCATCTTGAACCAAAAAAAAAAAAAAAATTGCGGAAGTTTCAAACGATAACCTTTATTTGTTTTGCTGCGGTTTTATCGCAAATCCCTTTCAGTTTCAAGAGCGTCACGATAGTATGTTCAGATGCTTTCTGGACTAATTTAACTTGTGCGCATTTACGAACACTGGAAAAAAAACACATTGGATCTAGAGTCCAGACTCTTAAAAACATCGACAAGAAAAAATACTCGTGATTCAATCAGATTTAGGCTTAAATCAAGAACCAAGTCTCTTAATTTGAGCGGATTTCTTTTGGTTTATTCTTAAACCTGATTGAATCAAGAGTATTTTTTCTTGTCAATGTTCTCAAGAGTCTGGACTCTAGATCCAATGTGTTTTTTTTTTTTTTTTTTTTTTTTTTTTTTTTCCAGTGAACGCTTCCAATCTGCCCTCGTACATATTGCCATAAAAACAAATATTCGATATCCTCTTACAAAACTTTTGAAGCGGTCCCAATCTTCACTTTTCGAGTCATTCCCGTCTTCGAATTTCGGATCGGAATTGAGACCGCGATCGTTATAACGACCAAGATACAAAGCGCTTTGAAGTTGAGTGAATTCTCTCACTCACCTCCCCCGCATCAGTGCAGCACTTACTATCATTCAACTTCAAGGTTGCCAGATTGTGTGAAGAAATCTGGACATTTAACATTGAGTAAGATTGAGAAATGTGCTGAATTTTCAGCACAATCTGGCAACAATGCCGTTGCGTGAAGTCTGAGACGGCCCAAAGGGAATTCTGTGAAGATCGCACAAGCCTGGATGCGATTCCCATCCGCAAACAACACTGAGCAATGTGTAAGAGAGCTATTTTATCCATGCTAATCTCAATGAGGGCATCTTTGATATGTATCCAAAGACAATATGGACGTATTTCTGCCAATGGGACTATGTGCATTATGACTTGAGCCCTATTATGCATATATTCTCATAGGTCTTAGGGCTCATGTCCTAATGCATAAAGTTCCGTTGCGTACAGGAATGCGTCCATATATTTTAAAAAGTGACTTATGGATGTCAACGTTTTGTATTAAAGACTACAGTTCCAGGCTCATCCATTAATTAAAGCACCAACCTGCGGACCGATTATTGAAATTTTGTGTTTATGGATGGACCCAGTGGCATACGTAAAACGGCGGAGTGTGATTGGTTGGCTGTGTCCTATCGCTGCTTTGTCGTGCCTACATCGGATAGAATTACCGGAAAACTAAAGGCACCTCATAAGTTGCCCATGGTGCCCATTCTACCCGACATCTGTAAGACAAAGCGGACCAATCACACTCCGCCGTTTCAAAAATGTAATCTATATCCGCCTGATAAACATAAAAGTTCAATCATCGGCCTGCTACTTAGGGAAACTTATTGCACATGCAGATGCTGTTTTTAACATGAACCAGAAATGGCGTGTCTCATTGCAAAATGGAGTCCATTTATTTAACAGTCCTGACACGATTTATAAAAACTCGTTTTACAAAAATGCTCACTGCTATAATCATCATTTATCATCTGGCAAATTTTATGCTCAACAAGTTGCTCATCGATCACCATCGGGCGGAACGAATCGTTGACCTCCCAGCTTTATTTCTGCCTCCTTCGATTAAAGTGCTCGGATTGTTGGTGCATGGTTTCTAAAATGGATATTGCCTCTGTAAGTATATGTTACTAGCCGTCCTGGACGCACCTCGCGCGTCCGTCACGGCCAGCCAAGGGGCTGCGCCCCCTGGACCCCTGATCACTCGCTACGCGAGTGACATTCGGCTCGCTCCGCGAGCCATTTTTCTCAGTGATTGGACATTTGATCACTAAGATGTATACATTTTGGAGACTCTGGAGGCAAAAATTTTCGTCACAGAACCTTGTTGCTGGAGCGTGCCATCATTTGCACGTGAATAGATGTGTGGAGATGAAGTGATGATGGGGCTCGATCATTATTTTCTTCAAAAATGCATTTGACTGGGTCGTCATCCCTTCGGACGGGTGGCGGAAAAAGACAATCCATGGATCTCCTTCCGCGATTTGACTTGCTGAAGTGGCAAAAGTTCATCTTTACTTCTTAAGAAGATTATCGGTGGCGTAGAAGTCTAAAAACTGCTCAACGATGGTTTAGTTCGAGTTCCGAATCGCAATGAGCCCGCTCGTGTTTTTTCTTATACTTTCATCGCATATAAATTTCTCTGATGTTCTTGTTTTATTCTCTCTGATTGCATATTAGTAATCATATCCTCATTTCATTTCCTTTTCCTTTCTTTTTTCCCTTTCTGGAGCATCTGTGTCCATTTACAATTATTATTTTAAAATAGCTTTCCTCTAGTATACAAAATTGATGCTTCAAACGGAATCAATTGTTTTAATGACATTTCCGGCTAAATCATGGGTTTTCCCAGGAAGGCAGCCTCTCGTCCCTCCCGGACTCTATTGTTGCCAGATAAGTTGTTTTTTTAGCACTTTTCCCAATTCAAATCCATGTGAAATATTCACATTATCGCACAATCTGGCAACCTCTCGAGTGAAATACAAAAAGGTAGAATCGCTGAAAGTCTGAATCCTTCGAAGTTTATATTAATGATGATAATTCCTGCCATGCTAAGGAAAAACGTCGTAAGGCTAAACATCATTTCTCAATTTTTTTCTGGCAATTAGTGTATTTGTTTTGGAAAGAAGTTATGCATTATTTTTCTTAAAAAGACGTACTGTAAAATAGTTTTACACGTTCCTGGTGATTGTTGCATAATACAACATAAATTATTCGTTCATTGAACAGAAACATGGATGCACTCATCATCCCCCTGAGAGGAGTAACTCAAAAATTGATCAACTTCTTTAGGAAATTTAACGTTCTAGGGGCGGTAAAATTTACTCAGAAAATGCTCCGCTGGCCTCCGTTTCCAGTTTATGACCTGCCAATCATTGAAAGTTTAAAGCAGCACGATGAGACATCGAAATGCGATGTATTACATGATTAAGATAGGGTTATGTCTTGTCTTGTTGTATCGACATAGATCCAAAAAATTGGGCCACTGGGTCTGTTTAGAAAATGGCCTCCGCTTTTCTTCCCTAACCTGAGCGAAATAAGACTTCATAGAAAAAGGCCTCGCTGGCCTCCACCTCCACTTCTAGTCCCTGGCCAAGTGAATGAGACTTTATGAACTTTCCATTAGCCGGCCAGGTTGGCCTAGTGGTCAGCGCGTCTGACTCTAGGTCAATAGGTCCCGGGTTCGAATCCCGGTGGTGGCGTCTAATTTTCACGGAATTGACGAGTAGATCTGCTGAAACAGATTCTCCTCGGCCCTAATCCCTGAAAATTAGAAAAGCCTGGAGCATGGAGCCTGATGTCTACGGACACTAAACATTGTCTAAAGTTGGCTGAAGGTGCAATAGACACGAAGCCATTAAACCAGCAGAAAAAAAAAAAAGAAAAAAAACTTTCCATTAAATGGGTACTACTAGTCCCCTCTTTTGAAATAAATCGGTCTGCTCAAACTCATCAAATTCCTCAAATTCCTGAATTTTAGTTCAGCGGACATAATACTTCAGTTGAGTGCGTTCGAGGAATGCGATTATGCGTTCCGAAAAACTAAGTTTCATAACACCAGAAAATTTCATCTTCACCGACCAGGCGGCCTTTTTTTACGAATCGACGAAATACATAAATCTTAAGCCTATCTTTGGCAAGACATTTAATGTAATAAAAAATGAGTTTATGAAATATCAGTATTTAATACTGATTCTGTCAACGTATCTTGTGATACGTGAGCCTGACCATTATCAACCGATAATAAAATTTTAAAAAAAGTAAAAATAAAAAAAACAACCGCAAATTAAAATAAATCTGTGTGAACAGCCCCGGCTGAAAATTGGACTGATAAGATGTAAACAAATCCGCGAAGCATCTTACAGAACTTACCTGTTCACATCTTATCAGTCCTATCTACAGCCGGGACTGATCACACGAATTCATTTTAATTTGAGATTGTTTTTCTAATTTTCAACTTTTTTTAAAAATTTTATCAGCGGTTGATAATGACCAGGCCGGGTCACCGGCCAAGGCGCCCTGCGTTAATTTATTGACTTGCAGCCTTGTTCCCCACGAGTTTCATCGTCGTTCTTCGTCGTTGTTCTTTTTACGTCATGTTACGGGCTGTCATAACTAAAATTTCTGATTTTATATTGGACTTGAGATAGTATTGAAAAAGTCACAATTATTTCTAAAATGGCTTTAGTGAAACCCTTACTTAGATACGACGTAAGTCGTCCTTCCTTATTGTCGGAGTATTGCCACTGCTTGATCTTCTTTCCTATCGCTTGAGTAGGATTTTCCTCTTTTCTATTTACGTATTTATTTATTTTTGTCATAGTTATCTATTTAATTTTTTATTATTTGTCGGCCTCCTGTGGTGTAGTGGTTGCAGCGCTTGCTCCACGAGCGGGAGGTCCCGGGTTCGATTCCCGGCCAAGTGACCCGAGTTTGATGGTCTCAAAACAACGATTACCTGGGGCTGGCTTGATTAGGGACGGAGGAAGGGGAGGTGGGGTTCTAGGAACGGTAAAGCGCAGGATTATCCGATTTAAGCGCAGGGATATTAAAAGTGTAAAAAAAGAGAAAAAATGGGAAAAAATACGTATTTACTTATTTACGTATTTATTCATTTATTACTTTATTTATTTATATATTTAATTTTTCGATTTTATTTTACTTTCCTTTTTATTTTAAGATCCTTCCGAGAGCATTACCGCACACCGCACCCTTTTACTTTCATCCACCCGAAGATTACGTCACCCTCGGAGGATGGTGAGACTGGGGGCACGGGCTGAAAGTGAGTACAAATCGAGCGGCGGCACGCGTAAAAAAAGGGGGGGCACACCGGAGGGGGAAGGGGGGGGGGGTTCCGGCGTGGTTACAGAGAGAAATGAGCGTATATATACAGGTGTAGTGACCTCAATTCCCAACACTGCGCGGCCTTGTACTTGACAGTGACCGTTTCACCGCGAGCTTGCGCGCGTCTTCACTTTTCGAATCGGAACCGGACATAAGTCACGAGGTAAGTCCCTTATCCATTTCGGACTTTCCCTCCTTTCAACGCCCCCCGGGAAAACGCCGGTGTGAAAAACATCCCTTAGCGCCTTTTTCCCGACTTACCCTGATCCGTTGAGCCACTTTAGACCCCCTCGTGCGGCTGCTCATGGTTGTTCCAGCTGTCTGCCTTAATTTTAAGATTGATGATCCTTTAAATTCGTATGTAACATTCAAATTTGGTTACAGTTAAGAGCGCAGTGCCGAAAATTTGAAAGCAATAAAATCGACGAAAAAAGGGGGAAATATCACGTTGGATTGACGCTTTCAGGTTTTGGCGGCAATGCTGCCGTGCTAAGGAAGAACGCCGTATGAGCCTTCAGACGTTGCCAAGTTTCCTTCGATGAAACCCGAATTTATTGGGAAAATTGGGTATATTCTCCCCCAAAATTTTCAGACAGTGTTTTGAGCAATTTAATCTAAAATATCTGAAAATTTCAAGGAAAAATATCCAAGAATGTCGTCAAAAATACTTGTTTTATGAAGGGAAATTTGGCAACTCTCGAATGGAATGTACAACTCTGCTGTGTAGCCGAGAAAAAACCATCTACAAAATTTAAAGAGCATTGATATAGTTGTGTCTGATTGGACGATTTCATTCAAAAAGTCCATCAGGTTTGGTAAAAGTGTCAATAATCGTTCTAGAAAGAGACTCGTAGAAATACTTAGGATAATTACAAGTCAACGAATTCTACTTTGAAGAATATTTTCCATATGAGGTGAGACAACTGTGTGTTCCACATGCTTTTATGATTACTTTTTCGACAAATAACTAGCAAGTTTTAAGGTTAGAAGTTAACTAAAAAAATACCCATCAGTATACAACATAAGAAAACACTACCATCAAGCGAAATAATGTGAACTCGCTGCTATTTTGTTGAAAATGGCATAGACTCATGCCTACTTACCATTTTACTGATGAATGAAAATAAATTTGATCCCTTGACCACGTCAAGTTGACTTAGAAGTGGGCTCAAAAGTCATGTGGACTTTCGAACTTAAAGTAAAAGTTCCTCAGTTTAAAAAATAACAGAAAGAGACACACTGAGCAGTGCATAGTTATAGGCACTGATCAAAATTATCTCACGAGATCGACTCGAACAGGCTTTTGAAAAAAAGATAAATTTTTTTAAAAATTGTTTTGATAATCTGCTCATTTCCTTTTATAGCGAGAGTAAAAACTGCTTCATTACAAACGTTTTTAGCAGGTTTACCGGTTATTTTTGCATCGTAATCCCTTTAAGTTGTGCGTAACACGTGGTTCTTCAGTATCTTAAACTTTTTAATTACCACGTGTTCTCACGATAGGCATATGGGAGGTGGGTCCGGTCCTGCGGGCCTGCCCGCCAAATGAGACCGTATTTTATTCCTGGGCTCTCGCGAGGAGTAGATGCAAATTCCCCCTTCCCCCTTTCACCAGAAAAGACCCTTGTAGCCATGAAAATGTGGAAATTTCTATATTTTAAAGTTTCCAAAGATATTTCCTCCTCCTTCAGGATGCAAAGAAATAATGGGACTCTGCGGGTTCACCTCACGCAATAGAGGTACCTAAAAAACTTTATTCGATTTTAGAAGGAGGTAGATATTAGATATTTTTTTCTAGATATTAACTTCGTAAGCATTGTCTCAAGTTCTTCATACCGTGTGTTTTCCCAAAGGAGCATGAGGGCATTTTGCTTGCTACGAGCCTGTTCCAAAAAGACGGTAGCTGTGGTGCTTGGTTTTCTTCTCCATCCTTAAACTAGCATCAGAAGTGGTTTCAAGGGTTCTAAATAAATTGTAAGACAAAAAAGTTTATCTCAAACGCGTGTTTGTTGCGTTTTCAATGAATTATTTCGTTATTTACTAACAAAAATAATGTCGAATCGAATCCTCCAGTAGTGAGTGTATCCTTTGCACAATCCGTTAACATTACCGGTAGCAAAGTCCAGGAAGACTGTTCGGTAACAATTTGTCTCTGGTGACAATGCAAAAAAAGAACCAAAATAACTAAACTTTTCTGTTTGGTGCGACAATGCGAAAAATAAAATAACTACACTTTCAGCTAATTTTGATGTCATGACCAGGAACGTCATTTGAGGCTAAGGGTGAAATAAATTCCACGCTTCAGAAATTTGATCTTTTATGATCGTGTATTCGTGTATAGCTTGAATTGTATTCCAAAAAAGGGCGGGTTACAATTAGAATATTTCTATTTAAAATGCACCCAATTGAAACTTTCGATGCGCAAAAATAAACTGTCTAAGAGACATTTGTTCTTTAAATTCATTTTTGGAACATTCATGCGTTCAAAAGGAGGAGAAATGGCCGATGACTTTTTAGACTTTTGTATGAAGCCACCCTGCATAAAAATAGCTGCTTAGGAAACCGATAAATACGACTTTACAACTTCTTGATCTTTTAGCGAAGGATTCTCATATTCTAAGCTCCGTCTTGCGATGTTGTTTGTCGATTGAGGACATTCGACAAGCTATCGTTAACGTGTCGATTACGAGCCCACGGATAATCAATTTTTCGACGGATCCTGCGTCGAACGAATCGCTACCATCGACTGTCTCCCCTTCCGGCTCCCTCCAGACCGAACTTTTTGTATGAAGCCACCCTCTATAAAAATAGCTGCTAAAGGAACCGATGATACGACTTTAAAACTTCAATGATCCTTTAGCGAAGTATCCTCATATTCTAAGCTCCGCCTTGCGATGTTGTTTGTCGATCGAGGACATTCGACAAGCTGTCGATAACGTGTCGATTACGAGCCCACGGATAATCATTTTTTCGACGGGTCGTGCGTCGGACGAATCGCTACCATCGACTGTCTCCCCTTCCGGCTCCTTCCAGACCGAACTTTTTGTATGAAGCCACCCTCTATAAAAATAGCTGCTAAAGGAACCGATGATACGACTTTAAAACTTCAATGATCCTTTAGCGAAGTATCCTCATATTCTAAGCTCCGCCTTGCGATGTTGTTTGTCGATCGAGGACATTCGACAAGCTATCGATAACGTGTCGATTACGAGCCCACGGATAATAATTTTTTCGACGGATCGTGCGTCGGACGAATCGCTACCATCGACTGTCTCCCCTTCCGGCTCCTTCCGGGCCGAACTTCAAAAGCGAATGCAATCGTAAGGAGCTCTGTGTCGTGATCGCGATTCCGAATTAGCCCTAATGGTCTCGGATCCTCCGAAACGAGGATTCGGTACGCCACAATCACGTTTCAGGTCATCACTTCGCATGCTTTCGGTTTTTTGGCTCGGCACTCATAAAATTAGCGCGAGGGAACCCGCGCTGTTGTCGGATTAGCCTACCTCCACCGGCTTCTGTGAGGCTTAATACTGCCGTGCTAAGGAAAAACGTCGTGTGAATCTTCAGGAGTTGCCACATTTCCTTTGGTAAATCACAAATTTCCTGGAAAATTTGTAAATATTTTTCCTCCAATTTTTCAGGTAATTTTGTTGGCATTTTCACCTTGAGTTCCTGAAAATTGTATGGAAATATATTGATAACTTTCTTCAAAAATAATTATTTTGTAAGAAGAAATTCGGCAACTCTCGAATGTCCATACGGCGTTTTTCCTTAGCACGGCAGAATAGTCATATCAACACTGGAAAAAAAGAAAACATATTGGATCTAGAGTCAAAACTCTTAAAAACATCGACAAGAAAAAATACTCTTGATTCAATCAGATTTAAGCTTAAATCAAGAACCAAACCTCTTAATTTGAGCGGATTTCCTTTTGATTTAAACTTAAATCTGCTTGAATCAAGAGTCATTTTCCTTGTCAATGTTTTCAAGAGTCTGGACTCTAAATCCAATGTGTTTTTTTTTTTTTTTTTTTTTTTTTTTCCAGTGAATGCATTTTAATGAAGGGTTTCTTCTTTCATCTAGTAAGCATAAAGTGAGGATAGAGAAAAAGCCAAATGTCATACTCCTTAATATAAAATTACGAAGGTAACGCGTTACGCATAACGCCTATGTAACGCATAATAACTCCTGAGGCGCAGAGCGCTTCAGGGGTTGGACCGCGAAGCGATCGGGGGTCGTGCCCTCTAGTGCTAAAAGAATGGTCTGTCGCACACAACTGCGGCTAAAACAGTAGATTTCTTATCGTAAACCTACACGCATAATCAATATGGATCATTAAGTGATCATGACCAGTGTAAGTGATCATGACCAGTGTAAGTGATCACAAAACTAAAATTCAGAAAATAACTTTTATAGCAAAATTTGGCTGCTGTGTGGACGGGATTCCAATCAAAATTGTGAAGAAGAGCTTATCCACGTTTGCCAATTCGTTGCTTATTTTTTATTCTTTTTTTTTGACGGAGTAGTGTTCTAACTTTACTAAACATGTTTACCATTTGTGGTTTTCACAGTTGGTCACTTGATTAGGACTGGAGGGTCGTCTAACGTCGCGAAAATTATCCCCGCACGAATAAATCCATTCGAGAGGGATCAGATATTACCCCCGCGGTTTTGGTAACGGTGGCATAAATCAAAGTAATGTAGGTATGGCTGTGACTATGTAGGCTTTAACGGCCATTGACCATGCTTTACTCCTGAAATGAATGCCGATGGTTTCATACGACCATTACACCTGAAGATCGCTGAACAATCCAAACTTTTGTTTAAATTTATTGTTAACAAGTCCTTTATTTATTAAAACCAATAGATACTTGATAAAAATCACACTTTCAATATAAGTCTTTTAAGTGAAGGGAATTCTAGAGTTAGAGAGGTTGAGCAATAGTCAACAGACAGGCAAAAAATTTCCAAGTACAAGTTTGAAATTTACTTGGTACTAACTTTTTAGCAAGAATGTGTTTAATATATTCATCGCAAGCACAGCCATGTGCTTTGAAGCGTCTTTCCAAATAAACCTTGAAAACCATACACTACTTTTGACTTTGATCCAAAAATAATCGATCGTTCATTTTTTCAATACCAATTTAATTCGCAAAATTTCCA